AACGGCGGACGGCGACCAAAAAGCCGGTGCTACTCCTGCAGCAATCCCGGAGTTTGAAAGCAGCATATGAAAACAAATATCCCAATAGAGAAGGATTTCTTCGGAGCCGTCGGCTGCAAGATGCTTTGTGCTAATTTCGAAGGTTTCTTACCCGACACTGGTGATTCCGTGGCCCGCGTCGATTCAGTCATAGCGGGATAATCTATAACAGACGAACTTGCGGTGCAGCCATCACCGACTCTTCATCTGGCTGTCAGTGACGCTTCGGTTTCGTGGTCCTTTGAACGGGCTCACGGTCCATGGATGTAAAACGTGATATGGTCCCTTTGATGATGAGAGTGATGACCCCTCTTGCCCCTCTCTTGCCCCTCGTGAGCCCCTCTCATGAACCCCTCTGTGATCCAACTTGTGGTCTTCAAAGTTGAAAGGTCGGTTCCAGGCTTGTGCTGTGGCCGACGAGAAGTGCGGTGCAACTTGGAGCGATAACGCGATGTTCCCCGGATTTGCTGGGATTTCGTTAGCCAGGCCGCCAAGCACGCCAAGCTGTTACTTGGTCGGATCTGCCGCTTGGAAGCTGAGGAGCGAATCCACAGACGTCGCTTTTTTGCCCTGGTCGCCGTCCGGATTCCACGATGCGCGTCGCTGTGGTGTCTCTTTCTCTGTGTTGTTTTGATGGAAGACACGGAACTCTTGTGGAACCGAACAGCGTGGTTGATGGATCGTCGATGTCCCTACGATTGGAAAATGTCCATGTGGTTTCTCGTTCCTTTTGTAATTCAGAGCTTTGGAAGTCAGGATAATCCGTGTACTTTGACTTTGAAGAGATTCGTACGCATTTGTGATTGGCGATGTTTGAGTAGATAGTTGTGATGAAAGATGGCTGCTGAGGTTGGTCGCAGGAGTGATGGCCATGACCTGAAATTGTCGGCCATCTTCTTTCTTTTCAGTGGTCCGGATTCATGGAGTGTCCGATTGGTTGGGTGTTGGAGTAGATGCGACTGTCCCGAGGGCCCAGTACAGTGTTGATGTGGATCTCCGTGACACTGTTCTGGTATCCGCAATTTGGACCATCATCATTGAATTAGTCGTTGGTGTTTTCGACCCCTCGCGCAGTGCAATGTTGTTCCAGCCTGTTGCGAGAGAACAACTTGTGCATCTGATAAGAACGCGGGGCAGATAACGACGAGATAGGTGACGCGGGTACCGCTAGCGGAGCTCGTTCAACTACCTACCCCTCTGTTGTTTGCGCAAGCATGACCGTTTTCGCCGTTGTCGCGACACGGGCCGGCCCTCTTGTCAATTGATTGTCGCCGCATCGAGTCAGCCATCGCATCATCTCACACAAAGTGGTTCCAAGGAAGGTCGGTCATGTGCCACTGTCGACCACTGCGGTAACCGAACAACAATCGCTGCAAATAGCGGGGAATCCGTCGGTAAACACCGTCCGCCCATCAAGGTCAAGCCGGGTGAAGTGGAAGAAGAGGACAAGGCCCCGGCTGGCGGACTGTCAAAACTGACAAGGTGAACACGAACATGGAAGACACGAACCGAGGGCACCGCTGTCCGGCGGGAAAACCTACCCCTCGAACCCCTCAATTTCTTCAACGACATCCACTCGCAACTGGAGTCTTGTCTTTTAAGATTGTCGCCCCCGCCATCCCACCAGCTGTCAAAGTAGTCATGGGTCACCTTGGTGTGATACTTTTGACCCCTCCTTGACGGCGGGAAAGCTCGAGGTCCAGAATTCGAGTCTCGGGGGGGCACGATAATGAATCAAGCCTCGACAAGTCCAGAGGTTGAGAAGGCAGCCGATGTGCATTCTTGTAAACAGAGCGCCAAGCTGCTCGCTGACAAAGAAGCTTTTGCCTGCTCCTCGGTATACATACACACACAACACAGGACTACAGAACCCAAAGTAGATTGCCTCCGGGCTCTCAGAGCTGTGATCACGAGATATCACGGTAATCGATCGATATCCAGTCCTGCCAGTGGCTGAAGAGCACGTTGTGGGGTCCGAGATGTGGCACGGCGATCCAGCAATTGGATGGGAACGCTGGGATTCCTCGTTGCTTCTGTCCCAGCCTCACTTTTGAGGATGGCACCGACAGTGCAACAATGGAACGATAAGGTAGACATTGCAGCGGCATCCGTCATGCAGGTCAACCATTGAACTGAACCAGGGCGAGCCAGGGGTTGTCTTGGTTGCTGACATTTGAAAACGTGTTGCGACCTTGATGAACCTGCGTACGACAGCTCCCCAGCTTGCTAGTCGTTCGTCGAGAAGCTGTCCCATGATGTCTCGTTCCGTGTCGTCCAGTGAGAGGCATCTACAAGCCGAAGCCCTGGCAGAGAAGAGGTGCCCGGAAAGCAGCGTTGGTCGAGACTGGAACGGGCATGGATCATGATGCTTTTCCGCGGTAGGTACACGCGCCTCTTACACGCTTCTCCAACTCTGTAAAGTGGTGGGTTGTGCAGGAGCCCCGCGAATCCAATTGTCGACTGTCGATATCCACGGCATGGATCCCGTCATTGACGCTTCTCCCATTGTTCACTTTTTGCGGTGCCTGGGGACGGCTTTGATCCAATGCCAACGAAACTCGAACTCTCCCAAACAACAACAAATGCTGGGTTTGGGACACTGCAGCGATGGAACAACAGCCCTGACCCACTGGTTTCTAGCATCTTGAATGGCTTCTGTAACCCAAGAGACCTCCGCTCCTCTAGGTACCCTGCTTGTTACAAAGACAACAGAGGCATGCCCGTTACGCCCGGGCACTCGTCTGGGCTTGTTGACCTTTCTGAAGCTGGCATAATCACGATGTGGCGGTCAGTGACTGCAGCACGCCAGACAACTCATCAACCACGAACCACAGATTGTAGGATTGCGGGGCCCAGCCCAGAGCCAGGGCCCAAGCTGAGAGAGGCTCGGGTCGGGCGGGTGTTAGTGGGAGAAGAAGTTTCATGCGAGTCTTATTTCAGGTTTCCGAGTTGATCTGCTGAAAATGATGCGGAAGGTTCGACATTTCTACCTGTACGTAAGGTGAACTTGGTGGTGAGGTGTCGCAATTCAAGTTTGCGTTCCAGTCTTCCACCGGGCCGTCGCTGACAATCAATTTTTTTCCGCGTCGGTGTCGCGCGCCTGCAGGACTTCCAATGGCCGAGTGTTGACTTTGGCCCTGAATAGAAAGGGAAGCGGCATGATGTACCCTAGAAAGGTTGACGGGAAGACGTACAAATGCCCGCTGGCGCTAGTCAGGGCGAGTGGAAATAACTGAAGCTGCGGCAGCTTCAAGTTCAATACCTAGGCTTCAAGCATGTCCCATCTCGAGACATTACTCCGGCACCACGCACCGCACCACGGAAGCAACATGGCATGGCATGGCAGCATCAAATAACGACGGACATCTCAGCGGCGGCGGGATGGTGAGGAACCGTGAGATTGCCCGGGGAGGGGCTTGGGAGGGCAGATCTGTATCTGGCCAACTGGTTTCTGGATGCACTGTGTGGTCAAAGAAATTTGATGACGGGTCTCGCAACACGAAGCAACACGCTTCGACACGTTAGCTGGCCCAGTACCTCCAAACTGGCATGGCGCCCATGCTGTCCGCGAGAGCTGTGCCAGAAGAAACATTGCGGCCTATGAGATGCCCCTGCCCCGCGCCTTGCATCCCGGCCCTCCTTCCCCTTTTCTGGTCGACATGTCAAGCCCGCCCCACCTTGGCGAGGTACTCGAGACATGACTTTGGCCGACAGCTGTCCAGTCACAGCCGGCGCCTTTTTGCTGGGAGCGCGCAAAGACACACAAAAAAGAAGGAAAATGGCCTTTGTCATCTCAGACTTGTGACGCACCTTTTTGGTTTGCGAGACTCACCGCTCTGGAAAGGTGGGCAGCTGGGCAAGGTGGGCAGCCCGCAAAAAACAGGTGTTTCAGCATTGCTGGCTTTTACCTCGAACATCTTTGCGATGATTTTCACTTGCGACTTACAAGACCAGATGAAAGAAGTGTTGTTGTGTTTATCTAGCTCTGTCCCGTCCGTCCCAACTACTGGAATTAGAAAACCAAGGAATCCGGCCCATTTATTTGTAGAGTGCCCCTCGGGAGGGAGGAAGTGGGAGACACGCCTGCCGTACCCTGTACCTTCGGCCACTATCGATCAGGCGAGCTAGGCCGAATCGGGAGTCTGCAAAATTGCGAATGTTTGGCACCTGCGGTTTCGTAGCGGGCGTCGGGGGGTTCTGGGTGCTAAAACGCGGTGACTGCACACTGGTACGACGTCTGAGGGAGGAGGAGGCCTGGCGACCTGGGTGAATTGCAGGGCAGGTGCGAGAGGGCCACCATCCCCCACACGGTCCGGGCTCGCTGGTTTGCACACGGTGCTGGCACTGGCACACTTTTTTGGCTGGCACACCTCCGTCCACCTCACTGGCACTCGCGCTGCAGTGGAAGCCGGAGTTTGCAGGCAGTGAGAACGGGCGTGGGAACTGCGTGTGGAACTGCCCCCCTCTCTGCGCAAACCATCTTTTCTACCCCGTTCCCCCTCTTCTCGTTTTCCAAAACCCCTCCAGCTTTCCTCCCACCTTCCATCCCCATCATCATCACCACCACCCACGACACCTAGCCACCACGACAAGAGGTCGGCAATCCACCACCACGACCATTTAATAGTCTCTGCTTCTCACAGCAAGACGACCCCTCTGCAATTCAATTGGCAGGGGCTTCCCTCACCATCCTCTACGGTCGCCGAGTTCCATGATCATATCACCAATGAGCAGCTTCACGACACAGAGTCACGTCGACACACTTTAAGTCCTACGGGAGCGCCGCGAGCGAAGGAGTCAGGCGATCTCAACTATCGTTCTGTGAAGGATCTACTGGACTATCGACTACCAACACCTAATTGTCGCCGTCCAGTTCCGACCCGTTGCAGCACAGTCCGAGTCATCCGCGAGAGGTAGCGAGGCAGCTTCATCACCAGAACCGACATCCACCACATCACAAAATGCCAGGCGCAAGCGTAGCTGTCGCGCCCACGTCGGCACCTGCGACGACCACACCAGCACCAGGGGCAACATCAACACCAACACCACGAAAGGCGCCGGGCGCTACACAGCCAGAAAGAAAGTACAAGTGTCAGTTTTGTGCCAGGGCTTTCAGCAGGAGCGAACATCGCAGCCGACACGAACGTTCACGTAGGATTCCTCTTTTCGTTCGATCTCTCTTTTCCTCCCCTTCTCCTTGAGCGATCATCCGTTTCTTTGCCCTTCAAGCAAATGTCCCTTTCCCTTCCTGTTTCTAAATAGCCGCGCTAACATACACTTCAGATACCAAGGAGCGACCATTCAAGTGTCTCAAGTGCAGAAGCACATTTGTACGACGTGATCTTCTTCTCCGACACGACCGCACAGTCCACGCCAAAGATGGCGGAATACCTCTTCACAGCGACGGAAAGCGCCGAGGTGGTCCCAAGGCGGCTCCTCGCCCTGCCACCGGGCCTGCCAAGACTCCCATGGACATCGACACTTCAGCTCTTGAGCAGTTAGAAGCCAGCAGTGACGGTATATTTGATGTGGAAACCGCTGCAATGCTTGTTGCTGACCTTCAACATAAAGCCACCTCTCAGGCGCGAGCAAATGGCGCATCTTACGATGGCAACGGAGCCATGTCCTTTTCGCAAACCAGCACTCCGACTATTGAACCCTCCGTACCCTTCACCAACTCCGCCCTCGGTCTTCCCCAGTGGGACAGCTTCATCTCCCACGATTCGAAGGCGCACTCGGTCATCTCGGGTCCTGGATCTTTCGATACGTCACATCCCAACCATATGGCCCCCATGGGCGGCCAACACATCACCGGGCTCCCTCTTTCGTCGCTCCCGCCTTCAGTGAACGGGACTCCCACCCCCCAGTCGCCATTCCTGCCGCATCGCACCCATACTCCATTAGATGCCACTCAGGCTCACGCCGGCCAGAAGCCCCCTCCTCCTCAGATCAACAGCGATGAGGAGAGGAACATGATTCTGGACAACATCCGTGCCCACGATGCCGAGCACGCCCTCCCAGAAGGATTTCGCGTACCGAGCTTGCCATCGATCAACCGATATCTTGCAACCTATTTCGGCTTGTTCCACCACCACCTACCATTCCTTCACCCAGCTTCGTTTGAGCCCACCCGAGTGTCACCACCACTCCTTCTTGCCCTTCTCTCCATCGGAGCTCTGTATGCTTTCGATCAGGAGAATGCTTATATGCTTCATATCGGGTCCAAGATCTTGGTGAACCAGTTCCTTCAACATAAGGAGAACTTCAGCTCGCGCAAGTGCCCGCTCTGGACCATGCAGAGCTCTCTTCTCAACATGATTTTTGCCAGCTGGAGTGGTGACCCCAAGGGACTCGAATGGGCTTGCTCGATCAAGAGCCTTCTCGCCAACATGGTTGCTGGCAACAGATATGAGCTGAAGCTTCGCCAAGAGGCTCGTGAAGGACGCTCCCCAACGCGCGCCGAGTGGGTTGAAGACGAAGGTTGTAGGCGTACTTACTATGCGGTGTACATCTTCTTTGGTCTTCTTACCCTCACATTTAACCACACTCCGGCCATCAACTTCAACGAGTTCGAGGACTTGCAGCTCCCAGCCACCGAGTTCCTTTGGAACGTCAAGGTTGCTGATGAAGGGGCCTGGCAGAAGCATCTCGAAGCGTCTCCTGCCCCGACATTTATGGTCGCCCACGATAACCTTTTCCAGGGCGAGACGCTCACATATAGCGCTTTTGGAACGCGTGTTATGATCAATGCGCTCTTCTTGGAAGTTTGGTATCATAAGAGGAGCCCCGAGGCTTTGCAGGATGTGGTGACCGAGTACAAACTCAGACTCGCCCTCGAGACGTGGGAGAAATCTCTAGAGTTCTGCGAGCACGAGACAGTAGCGGCTCCACTGCACACGCCTCAAACGGGTCATCCCTTGATCTTCAACGCCAAGGCCATGTATCGCAACGCGCGTGCTCGCTTGGAGGTGGACTTGAAGACGGTTCAGGAGGCCCTTCGGTACCACGACTCCTATGAAGTCGCCGCTGCCATGTCCAATGCCCGGGATCGGGTAAGACGCTCGGGCGAGATGATCAAGGTCATTCAGGTTTGCTATGACTGCATCGAGACTGCGGTCGACACTGGTGTCCGCTGGGTGGCTCGTACCTCGCCGACAAACTGGAGCATTGAGCACCCATTGTGCGGCATGGATCTCATGATCATCCTCAGTCTCTGGCTCTATCGTCTGGAACATGACGAGGAGCAGGCCACGGAAGAGGAGCAGGTCATGTACAAGCGTGTGCGAGAGCTGTTCACAAGGGGGCTTCAGGAGAAGATTGACGGCCACCTTGGCGCCATCGTTGCGCGACTCTGGGCCTCGATGCTTGGCGAGGTCGTTGTTTGGGGGTAAGTCAATCTCGTGAACCACCGTTTGATCATTGTCGGCTAACGTAACTTTTTGCAGTATTACCCGTGTGATGGCCGATTCGTTCCGCCTTCATGAGCAAGCCCTCATCGGTTACGTAGATGACATTGAGGCATCCCCCAGTGTCACGACCCCTTCGATGACATCTCAAGGGGCCGATGAGGACAGCGTGTATTAGTTTGTGACGAAGTTGACGATCTTATTTCTGGTTTGTGAGGGAGGGGTTCCGGCATATACCTTTTTTCGAGCGGTTCTGGGTTCTCGTCATTGTTCGGTTTTCATCGCTTTCAGCATTTTATTGTCGCTTCTTCTCGCTCAGGAGTGACTTTCCAATTTCTGTTTTCCAATGGCTTCTGGGTTCATCGGCGCGAGGGGGTGGGGGTCTGAAGGGTTTCCTTTGATAATTCTTCTGGGGTAGCTGTGGCATTTCGCGTCTGCATGGTCGTGGTATTTGGGCAATGATGGAGGGACAGGTTTGGTAATCCGGTTTCGCATTGGTCCCCAACGGCAGGGAGGAGGATCAAGTCGCGCACAAAAGCTGGCGCAAGCCTCTAATATCTCGCAAACACCAACACGGTTTGCTGGTCCCATGTGGGAATGTTTTTTTCCTTCTCACCTTGTCTCATTAGCTACGGCGCCCTTACCGCTTTATAATAACCCTTTCACGTCTCGCCGCTGTTGTGTACGGCGGCAGACATCATCTCTCTCCTACTCGATTTTCCTTTCCAGCTTCTGATACCTTTGTTCTACTACACACTGTTGGCTTTGTTGTCGTTGTCTATTTTACTCGTCCTATTCTCGCGCGTTCTTTCCTTTGCCTTAATTATTCGAGTATCGACCTGTCCTCATTCCCTGTCTTCATTACCCTTCTCTGTACTAGATATCAGGACTTGAAACGTTGTTTCTGAGCACAATAGGGTGGGCTTCAGGAGCGAACGGACTAGTTGTGTTATGTTTTTTGGTGTTTTCCTGTTTCTTTGGTCGTTTTCCTTGAGAATGAGCTTTGGTTTGGCGCACATTCAGCGAGCTGAACTCAAAAGTTTGTTCAAGACATATAGCAAATCTCCCCACAAGACTGATAGTTAATGCTGAATTGACTTAAAAAACTTCAATCCTCCTGACCTCGGCTTTACCTCGTGAGTTCCTGGGTATAGACTTGGTGAGTTGGGATTGTGGGGCCAGTCACCCTTTCTCTATATCAAGCTACTAACGTCGTGTAACAAAAGTTCCTGCACGTAGCCACGACCAGTATTTGTTCTGCTGCCTATCGCCAGCATGTCTCCGTATGGCATTAGCACCTCACGTCTTTGTAGCCCAGAGACGCCAGTCTATAGTGCTCTGGTTTTTATTAGCTGCGTTGTAAGCTTATCTTTGATGGAGCTACCCTTTGTGTCAGAGTCGGTAGGAGGTAGCAAACACTCCAGAAGCAGACGTCACTTGAGCCATCAAGATTCTCCCAAGCACGGCGGACGCGCTTGAACGCGGTAAGGAAAAAGGAGCACGTTTTGTATATGAGATCAAGCAGACGAAACCTAATCTTGGAGGGAAGGATCGCGTCTTTGCAACTGGATCTAACAGTCCAACTGTTAAAGGCTTGCGCCTGAAAGGGAAGGAACGCACGTAACGGGATGAGGGGGAGAAGGTCAAATGGTGGGAAGGAACGCCTTTGTTGAAGCAGGTACCCGTCTGTTTGTTGCCGATATTGCTTCAGCTTCGAGCTCTTTCCTTTCCTGTACACAATCCAGTCTTGGATCCCCCGCGCTCGTCTCTTTTCAGTCACTTAATTTCAGCTCACCTTCTAGGGACTTTTCCACCTCCGATAACTTTCGTCCTTCATATCCGAGGGCGTTTCACTCGTTCACCGCGCTCGAGTCGGGTTAAGTCCCTCTGCTCAACTTCTTAACATCACTTCTGTCCTTTCACTCGATCAACAGTGTTCTTTTCATCCCGGATGCGCAAAGAACTACTCATCTACAACTGTGCACTGGAGTCAACTCCGTCAACCATAACTCATTCTCACTTTTTTTCTGACTTGCGCCCACCTTCTCTCGTCGGTTTTGTGACGAATTAAAATCCGAGAACCGTTTGAGTACACTCCTTTGCTTGGACATCAAGACACGCAGAAAGGAGAGACGCGATTCACCCGGTTTATCTGACATCACAACTCTCTCTCTGTTTCAGTCGACGCGCGCTTCGGAACTCGGAAACCCATCTAGATCACTTTCCCTTCAACAATAAACCACGAGCCCTGCGTTTCATGAGCTTGTCTCAACTCCGCCATGATGCTATTGGCTATGACTGGCAACGCGCATAAGCACGAGAATGCTGGCTCTGGCCACTTTACCAAGCGCCCCTTCTCACTTTTCCACTCTCTTTGCCTTCTGCTCATTGCCTTGGCCTTTTCAGGACAAGTCCTTGCCGACTGCGAATGTGGCTATCAAAGTGATAGCCCCGACGGCGAATATCAGGATGTCTTTACCGATCTCATTGAGACGAACTTTGCGCGCATGCCGGATATCTCCAGCAACACTGACTGGCAGCGCCAGGAGTTCAACGTAACCAAGGCTAAGGCTCGCGGAGAATATGGAGAGATGTTTTACGTCAAGGATGACGTCGAATATGTGGACAAGAATGGCAACAGGGCCTCGGACGGCTTGCAGCTCATTGTCAGACAGGACCCGATCGACGGCATGGTTCCCGTAGCGGAGGTCGATACTGCCAGGCTGGATCTTTCTTATGGCACTTTCCGGGCTTCTATGAAGTTGACGGATATTCCTGGTACATGTGCCGCATTCTTTTGGGTTAGTATCTGTTCCCATGTGCGATTCTTTTCCAGGCTCACGCTGACATATCTTCATTTGCAGTACTTCAATGACACTCAGGAGATTGACATGGAGTTTTTGTCCAAGGATTTCGACCATAGTAAGAACACCTACCCAGTTAACCTCGTCCTGCAATCCCGAGCCGCCGCGGCGCATGGCTACGACGCGTCACAAACCGACAATTTCATCAAGGCAAACCTGCCCTTCGACCCCACGGCTGATTTCCACGAATACCGCATTGATTATAACCCCAGCGAGATTCTCTTCTACGCCGACAGAGAGCTGCTCGGAAAGATGAATGGCTCCAACGCTCCGAGCCCTAATTCACATGGGCACCTGATCCTGTCGCATTGGAGCAACGGAAACCCCAAGTGGTCTGGTGGGCCCCCGAAGGAGGACGCCGCTCTGGTCATCCGCTATGTAAAGGCTTACTTTAACTCTACAGAGCCCAAGAGAACGCAGGACTGGAGCGGTCGGTGCAAGAATGCGAAGGCGGAGACCTCTGTTTGCAAGATTCCCGTTGTGACTAGGGAGAACCAGACTGCGAAGGACTATTTCTTTAGTGATTATGCGGACAAGGCAAAGAACCAGACGGTGTATGAGCCTACTAGTGGTGCGAGAACCTTTGAAGCGGCAGTGAGTTGGACTGTGATTCTTGTTTTCCTGATGGTTGGTTATTCAGGGGGCTTCTTTTGAGAACCGGTTTACTTGTTCGGTCCTGTGGCAAGGAGAAAGTACGACAGTATTAGTACTTGATTGTCCATATGCGTGTGCAATTTCGTTCGACTTGCTCGTTCATCACTGCCAAAGCTTTGGAGGCTGGCCATCTGATATTTTACCATAGTCCGGAGAACCGGCATATCTGGGGGCACGATTTGAGGTATTGGCCCCTATTGAGATCAAAGAAAGGGATCTTCAACATCGAGAATGATGTTGTTCAAAGGAGGTGTCTTGTTCGCAAGGAGGCGTCACTTCCGCATCACCTCCAATCATTCCAAACATCAAGCGCTCATGAGGGGCTCATAGTATCAAAGCCACGTGTGGATGGATAGACACCTCACCTTCCTCATTCCACAACGAGAAGGGTAAGGACGGTTCTCTACTCCAACTGTTCGTATATATATACAGTGGTAATATTCAAAGGGTAGCGTGATAGCAGAATACCACCCTCCTAACTGTCCCCAATGAGACCTGCATATTGCAAGAACCGGTCATCTTACCCCAGACTTCTGTGCAGTAGTGCAAGTGATGTGTGGGTGTGCATCTGGCGCTTACTTTCGGAGCTTTTCTCCATAGCGTCGTCCTACAGTACCGAGTGTCAGACTTTTACCCCGGATTTTGCCGCTCTTGGCTTTGCTAGCTGCGCTGTTTGAAAGCGCCGCATTTAACGTCTTTTCTTTCACATGCCGTTTGTCGACAAGTGCTGTTCAGAGAAGACAAAGATTACATCCACCTCTCTCCTATCGTGAAGGTTGTAAGTAGTGTAGCAATAGCTACCCCAACTGCCGTCTTGGGACCTGTAAGTATGCACACATTTTGATGTCAAAGGTGAGTACCTTAGGGAGGGGCTCAGGAAGAATGTTCGTTACCAATGACAGAAAAGAGCGATGTGGTTGAGGGTTCAAGGTGTTTGCTCTTCGGCCCTTTCTGCACTACGTCGCTCCTTCCCTCCTTCACTTCACAACCACCAAAAGTCTTTGACCATGGAAGGTCAGATGTTCCCTATGCCTGCTGGTTTTGCTCTTGTTAGGTAACAATATCACTCACGCCTTTCTAGCAAAGGAAGCTACGAAGCATCACCGCGATACCATATCTGCCCCTACCACCAACTTCTTCCATGGGCAACTTGGGAGGCTCCAGTCGTTGCATCTCCATATACGCCAGTCCAATCCAATACGATGCGGTCAAGCCTTGGCAAGATCTGTTAGATGGAAAGCATGAAACGGGGTATCTATAACAACTATCTTATCCCAACCGGCCCCTCAAATCCAATGGCCAAGTCGCATAACAACTCATGACGCTACTCCATTTTATCCGTTGCAAACTTGCAATGCAACAATGGCATTGGTGCATGACCCCCTTTTGATCCTTTGATCGGCAGTTTCAGTAAGAAACCCCTGTGACGGCAGAGAGAGTCCAAGAGCCTGACAACGTGTGTGCCTGGATGGATGGATGACCTGCATGCAGACCAGACATGACATGCCTGCTGGATCTGAGAGGCTTCGATCATCAATGTCAACGTCAACGGGGGAAACACAACTGGGTCACCAGTCTTCGGGAATCCTTCTATATAGGGAAAGCGGCCGGAGAAGGTTGGTGCCTTGCTTCCCAACCTGCGGAGCAACCATCCGAACTAAAGCAGGACAGAGAGCTTGCCAAGGCAGGGTCTTATATTCTTTCGGACTTCGAGAAGGACTGGAAGGATGGGATCTGAGAGGCTACCAAGCTTGGTTCAGGTTGTCCTAAAGTCTAGGGGTCCCAATATCAGTGATGTGATGTGAAATGGCGATGACCTTGTGGGCGTGTCACAGGTCAGTAGTGGCAGGTGTTCAAGTTTCTTCTCTTCTTGTTGCCTCATGTTAACCCTCCTTTCCTTATCCCATACGTGTAGGTCAGTAAGATGGTGGTTTCCGGTACCGTGGGTCTGCGTTTTGCTTTGCTTGCTGTCTCTGAAGCATGAGACAAGAACTGGATATAAAGTGGAGTGGGCTCTCGTTCATCTATCTGGACACCCTGATTTCCACAGTCAGTTGGAAAAAAAAACAAGATTTCTTTCTGCAGAAGGGGTGACATTTTCCACAGAAAAAGATATTAAGAGACATACCCTACCTACCTACCTTACCGTCGTCTCATTTGCTTCTCTTTCTTACCTTATTTTTCTCAGACAAGCAGTCCGGCACCCTCCTAGGAGTCCTTACCTACCTACATACCATTTCTCTTCATCCAAACAACAGCGTCAAAGCGGACCTCCAGGAAACAACAGCCCATCAACACGACGGCAAAATGGCGACCCTCACGGTCTCACCGTCTCAGGCTCAGCAATTCAGCTTCCTCCCATCCCCTCTCACCAGCAACCCACCCACCACCACAACCGCAACCGCAACCGCAGCCAACACCGCCTCAGACGCACCACCCATAACCACCCAAACAACCCCACAAACCCTCACCATCTCCCTCCAAAACAACACCCCCTCCACCGCCGTATACGCCTACATAACCGGCCAAACCCTTTCCGGCACCCTCTACGTCCTCTCTTCAACCGGCACCACCCCCTTTTTCCCGCCTAACCCCATAACCCAAACACTCACCCCCATCCCCTCCTCCTCAATCTCCATTGCCCTCGGCCCCCCGGGTTTATCTCGGGCGGTAACCATCCCCCGTCTTGCTGGCGCACGGATCTGGTTCTCCGTCGGTTCCCAACTCCAATTCTTCCTTAACCCAATTTCCGGAGCGCCGCAAGATGGACAAGGACGGGGTGTGGCATTGGTGGAACCCAGCGTGATGAACGAAAGTGATACAAACTACGACAAGGAGTGGGGCTTCGCCGAGTTCACGTTTAACGAGTATCAGCTGTTTGGGAATGTATCGATGGTGGATTTTGTAGGGAGGTGTCCTGTTTCTTTGGGAGTCATCAGGGATCTCCCTACAGATGCAAAAGAGAGGCAGCAGGAGGTGGAGGGGATGGGGTATGGCAGTGGTTTGGATCGGGTTGTTGAGTCCCTAAGGCAGGTGGGAGGGAATTGGGAGAAATTGGTGATTAGACGAAAACAAGATGGGCTGGTGACGAGGGTGTTGAGTCCCAACTCGGCGGTCGTCATGGGGGCGCAGAGGGGCGAGAGATTGTTCCAAGGGTACTATGATGGGTATGTGAGGGATGTGTGGGAAAAGTATCGACGGGAAGATCTGGTGGTGGATACGCAGAATAAATGGGGGGTGGTTAGGGGGAGGGTTGATTCGGGGACGAATCTTTTGACGTTTCCGATCCCGGGTTCCGGTACCGGTGGGAAGATTACCTTTGGACAGCCATCCGCAGCAGATATCTTCTCTTGCTCCACGGGACCGTTCGCGTTTCCGCCGTTGCCGCCAAACCCGACCGAAACCGATTTCGATGTCCAGGCGTTCCGAGGAAATGTTGGGGCCCGTCTGGCGGCGGCGTTCAACAGGAGTACGTTGCTGATCAACCCGAACCAGCCGGCTGGCGAACAGATTGGTACGTTTTACAAGAGCAATTCGGTGACGAACCACTATAGCAGGGTGGTGCATGAGAATAGCCCGGGAGGAAGGGGGTATGCGTTTCCGTATGATGATGTGTCGAGAACCGAGGAGGAAAATGTCGCTGGGACGGTGGCGGCGGGCAATCCCAAGGTTTTTGTTGTGGCAGTGGGTGGTGGAAAGGTGAACTTTGCGGCTTTGGGAACGGCGGTGGTCGAGAGTGAGGTCCAGACTGCTGCCGATGGTGCGGAGAAGGTGGAGAAGAGGGTGGTTACTGGTGGTGAGAATTCGGGGAAGCCGGCAGGAAAGGTGGTGAAGAGTGAGAACAGAGGAATGAGAACTGGAAGAGGAAGAGTAAAGAGGATCAGAGGGTTGTTGAGGAGGGCTGTGGGTTGGGTGAAGGGATGAAGGGTGACTTTTGCTGCTGTATCTTCTCGGTTCTCTGACGCCGATCTTGCCAATTTTCTTGTTATTTCCTCGTTTCACGCTGTAACATTGTTCTGACTTTGCTCTGTACATACACATATCCAAGCAATACTTATCATGTCGTCGTTCACCAGACAGACTGTCGAAATAAGGTTATTTGCGTGATAGTGGGGCAGTATCAGAGAGCTGACACTGTGGACGGCGCCGGTACCGTACAAAATCCGAAGGCACAAAAAGGGGTAAGTAAACAGAGCCATCAATGGCAAGAGGCCGACGGCTGTCCTTTATCTCCACGGCTTGAACAGAAGATATCGGTCTCGAATCGCAACGTTGATCGCAACATACTTCTTCTCGATATAATAATTGTTTCAACAACTGGATGGGATCCTTTTGTCCTGGAACCCTTGTGCAACGTTTGACATTTGTCGTGTTTGAAGCAAGCATTGGCTGTGCAAGCAGAGCTCTGTCAGTGGAGGCCCGGCCCGGCCTTACAGGTGGATTCCGCTGGTTACAGCGGGTGTGGGGAGCGCGGGATTAGCGCCCGAAATGGAGTGCAACACTGGACTGTAGACACGGTGGAAGTTCAGTGGCTGCCCGGTGTGGGCCTTTTTGTTAGGTTGTTGACGTGAGGCTGCTCAGAAAACCAAATGAGAAAGACGAATGCAAGCCACACGGGATGTCTGCAAGGACTGAAGCCAAGGATAACCAAGGAATCTTGAAGGAAGATTGAAGGAGCGGCTGTGAGAGGTTGAAGAAAGAAAAGGACAAGAGGGACCCACGCATAACTTGAACCGCGCCTGCTGAAAGTGCCCCGCACTTGTCTGCGTATTGGCGGCTTACACCGCGCACAGCAGCACGTGGAGGGAAGCTCCAGTGACGTAATTGTACGTTTGGCAGCTCGTTGAAGAAGGTGGGCTGGACCTGTCGTCATCAGCTCTTTCTCCACAACCTTTTTTTGTTTGAACCGCCGCTCATTCTTTCTGACTGACAAAATTTGCTTGTGCATTGAAACAGCAGTCAATAATGGCCGGGTATGTCATGCTCGATGGCGTATTATACGAAAAGGGACAACGCTTGTGAACCGACACCAGAAAACGAAGCAGTGACAACAACGGAGAGCTGGAGATGGATTGGAGAAAGGGGAACTTGGATGTACCAAGTGTACCACCACGACCGATCTCTAAGCTGGTACTTTGCAAACCTGAACCGAACATCATCAAGGAAGGGACCCTGAGATGTACGAGATGCGTACAACAGAGCTGTTCTTCAAAGTCTCGGCGGGGACGATCACTGGGCACAATTTCCCCGAACAAGAGGGTGTGGAGATTCCGTCCGTTCGAGCCTGTGGTTGGGATGAGACAAGCTCAGATGAGGGAAGGCACGTTTGTTTGGTCAAAGTTACCCACCCGCCTTGTATCCCCCGGTGCCCCCTTCTGCCCCTCCTTCCCAGAACCCAAATCAAGTCTGCAACAAAGACGTCAGCGACCTCGTGAAAGCAATGAGGTAAGAGGCCAGTCTGTAAAACTTCCACAGCCCAGCGGGAAAAGGTCGTGTACCCCCCACCCGCAAAAAGAATAAAACGGCCGTTACTTTCTTTCTCTTCTTCCACGTCTATCCTGTTCACGATTACTGAAGATCTTCACACTCGACACTAATCCTTGAGATACCCATCTGTTTATATTCACCAACAACAACACCATCCTAATACTTGCTACTTGCCTTAGCCCATCATGGAGACCATCAGCAAGGTTGCCAGCGCTGCTGCCGAAACTGCCACCAACGTCGCCGTTGAAGCTTCGAATCTCGCCGCTCAGGCCTCTAAGGCAGCCGTGAACGCCGTTTATGGAACTAACCAGTCCCACGAGGAGCCTATCTCGGGCAAGACGGGCGATGTCTCCAAGGGAGAGCCCTACGACGCCGGTAACATGGGTGAGTGCTTGTCGTTTTCCTTCCACCTGACCTAACTAACACCATGACTCCTTACTGTAGAACCCAGCGAAAGTACCGGAGTCGCCGTAGGCGAGAAGATGGTCACTGATCGCACCGTCAGGCCTACCTCGCCCAAGCTCACCCAGGCAGCTGCCGGACCTGTGAAGGCCGACGGAAGTGAGCCCAAGCCATCAAACCAGGTTAAGGTGCCAGAGGCCGAGAAGGACCACAGCCCACCAACCGTCAACTCCAGGATTGACAACCACTACAACATCCCCGAGCACTCGTCTGTCAACCCCCAGACCAACGCCTACCAGGGCCCTGATAGTGTTGCCCCCAAGATGGACGCTCATTACAATGTCGCCGTGCCCAAGACCACCGATATCAAGGCTCTTGACGACCGTCACGATTCGTCCCACACTTCCTCCTTCGGGACTGCCGATATCAAGCCCAAGGAAACCCACACTTCATCCTCCGGGACTGCTGATATCAAGCCTGTCGAAACCCAGACTTCGTTCCCCACGACTACCACCCACACGACTAACGCCGAGGCTCTGAACGATACCTTTCGTCCCACAGGAACATTCCTACCGAGCAGTCCACTACCTTCCAGGACCAGAGCTCTTCCAAGCACAATGTGCCCAAGGTCAGCCCTGCCGCTACCCAGGACTCTTCTCGTCAGACTGGCGACAGCACTCAGGCCCAGAACGACATTCGTTCCCCGAATGACCCTTCTACGCACCCCACTCACGTCAACGCGAGGGAGAACGTCGATGACCGTGATGGTGGTTTGGATGCCAGCAAGAACCCCAACAAGGACCTTGGCTCTGGCCCCAAGCCTCTAGTCGAAGTTGCCAAGCAGCACGGCGGAGATGCTGGTAAGGCGGAGAACGTAGGTGTCAAGGAGCCCCAGAACGGCGCCCCCAAGGAGGAGCAGGCCAGCAATCCCGAGTCCCACCACATTCACCATGCTACTGGCTTTGTGGCTGATGGCGGCGACTTTGACGCGGCGGCTCCCGGAGCTGGTATCGAGGCTGATCGTAAGTTCTTATTCTGAATTCACCATGTTACAAGCGAGTTACTAACAGTGTTATCATTAGGTCTTCTCGAGTCTAAGGGAATCCACAGGGATAACGCTAATGGCCCCCTCACTGGTAACACCGATGCGCTCGACCACCACGACGGCCATGGACACAAGGAGAAGACCAGCTTGAAGCAGAAGATCAAGGACAAGTTGCACAAGCACTAAAATGATTGAGGCATTGCTTACTTTGTTCTTCTTTCCTTGGCTGTGTACGATATCCTTTTCCTTTGTCTCTAATGATATGAAGTAATGACGGCAAAGGTGTTTTTGGGGGCTTTTGGTAGAACAGTCCTTGATGGACATATGGGTTGCTTGGTTAGCCCATGTAATGTCGGTACTTCGATTATACCATGACCATAGCAATTGAAGACCTTCTCTTTACTCATAATGAATCCAAGTGATATTCCCACTTAAAATGGTGATTAAACAACACTGCAAACCAGAAGACCGGGTGCCCAACCACTCGCTCATCACAACCCTCTTCTACGCTGACAACTTGCCTCAACCTTCTCCCCCGTGTACAAAGGTGAAAACAACAGACGCAATGAAAAGAAAAATGTCAAAAATAAAACGAGAACAGATGGGCATAGCAGGATGAAATCGCAAAAGAAAGGAAAAACAAAAGAAGAGTGCCCAATAACAGGATTGAACTGTTGACCTTCGCATGGACTTGATATCTCGGAGAAGATATTAGTACGACGCTCTAACCAGCTGAGCTAATCGGGCTTTGTTGAAGAAGTGGGCATGTGGGCGGCATTATATTATCCCAATACTGAACTGTAGGGTAAAAGGGACCAGGCTCGTGGCGCACCTTCCGTTGTGGTTGCCGGTGGGTTAGGTACGCTGAAGCAGAAGATGTCAGTCACTTTACGTTTATCGTACCGTAGTTTGACCACAATCGAGCTTTCTTTCTGCCGAAAACCTTAGAGGGTAAAAAGGCTACCGCAGACTATGCAAGAGCTGATTGAAGGTGTAAAGCGCAATGGAAGGGCTCCAAATCGGGGAGTGTCGAAGTTCGGTTTTGGTGGTTTGGTGGTGCTGGTTATTTTACACGTAATTACCTAATACTCATGCACTTCCGCAGTATAATCGAAACATCCCCGTGCCGTAACATAACCGCTAGCATCACTCAACACCACCTCCATGCAGGCTTCATCCACAGACATCATCTCGACAAGAACCACCAAGATGCGGCTTCAGGTAACCCCCAGGAATCGTCTCTCAAAGCTTCCAAAGATGACAGTTAACCTCTTCGATCAACAGCCAGATGCCAATCCCTACTTCTGTACAAACTGTCTGTCTCCACTCACTTGCCTCAACCGGCGATGCGATAGTGGGTCTACGAGCTCCCTTCGGGACTACCAAGGTAACCTTCAAAGCTGGGCGAGCGAACATCACCAACTCGAGCTGGTACCGGTCTCGTGGGTCTTAGTGCTCCACTATAATGCTTATGGAAAGTAACCAACGGTCGCGGCTAGGTTTGTGGGATCAATGAGAACTTGGGAAGATCCCCGTCGGTGGTGATGTTTTCAGTTTCAGTATCAGCACGTTTCTGTTCATCAGGCCAGATTCTCTACTGTCGACTTGCCCCGTTGGTTCTTTAGCATTGCAATAGTCTTCATCTTTTTGTCAACTACTTTTGTTGACGGTCATGCGACGCCTCAATTGGTTGGTGAAGTGGGAAGGGCAGATCGAGACGCTCTGATTCTTCTGAAACTGCTTTCGGCGCGGCGAGCTCACTTTGTTGGGCCGGTTCTTTGAACAGAACTTCATCGGGCCCGGGAATCTTGCTCAACTGCTCCCTCTGGTCAATCTTCGCAGTTCATACCCGTCCGACCTTCGAAAACGGACTTGCTACGCCATGGAAAGTCTTTGTCGCCGTTCTTTGCGGCGGTTGTTGGTGCGACTCATATCGGATAACGAGGCCTTCCAACTCACGCGTCGTCATCATTTTCATGTTCCTTTGCCATGAGGGCGATGTTGGCTCCGCTACCCATACACAGATTCCCTCGGGGTTGTTCTTTCCTTTAAAGCCAGGCAGATGGTGACGATGCCACAACCAACTTGCGCGCATACCGAGTCCACATCGGTGTCAGTTGGTCATGAGAAGGTCATTACGCCTTTGGTTTCTTTGAACTCGACTGCTCGTTTGCAGCAATCCGGACGGTCGTTGGTATGAAGACAGCTTCAGAAGGAAGGATGAAGGAGCTGAGATGATCAAGTATAAATGACTGTTATTCCGCCTGGTTGCGGAAGAATATCTCACCATCTTCTCACATTTATCAAGCACCTTCATCAGCATCGACAGCAACATCAGCATCAAGACAAGCCACGAAAAGACTACATGCTAGCTTTACTGCTCGTAGTCCCCCTCTTCACTTCTTGTTAGCCAAACACCTTTCCCTGTTATCGATTCAACGGCACGACAATGTCAGCACACGGGAGATCAGACTCAGTTTCCCAGGCATCTAATGCATCGGGTGAACGTCCTTCGAGTAATCAAAGCAATATTCCGTCAGAACATGGTTTTGAAACATCTACAGCGCACGCGGGTCCTTTAGATAATCAACCTCATCTCGCCGCCGGAGCAGGTGTAAACCACGCAAGGAACGTGAGCAACACACCAACCATAGTCATACCGCCCAAGAGACCGAGACATCAATATCATGTCTCCATCTCCTCGACAATATCCGAAGAGAATCCTTGTGACATATCTAATGATTGCTTCCGCAAAACAAGGCCTCTTCTGAAAAAGACAAATAAATTGCTCATGCGGTACCGGGAGTACATCCCCAACGACGAGGCTTCCGGCGCGCTTCGTGATCGGTACCAGCAACTGGCAGAGTTGATTAAGACGAGGGAGAAGGAATATACTGAAATGACAGAGGATAGGAACTCTTGGCTGGCCTCCGGAATCGCCCCTTCGATTTGCTGGTCCTTGGGAAGGTTCACCCTTGTCATTCCCAGCTTGACAAAAATGAGTCCTCCTCTTTGGGAAATTTACATGTAGGTGCGCCTCGTTCTGAATTAAAGTTGCTAACTATGGCTTAACCAGTGTTCAATGAGTTTTACTCATTCATCGATACCAACGGTGGGAGAGAGGGAGGGTTGACAAATCCCAACAGAATCGAGTCCGACTCTGAGTCGGACAGCGAGGCCGAAAACATCCGCATCCGCAGGACTGACAATACCAAGGCGACTAACAAGGCCATCCAAGTCGTTAAGAGGAACATGGTAAGTAGAGACACAGCAGTGGCGTCCAGTTATACATAAGATGCTGACCTTGCCTGCGTCCCAAGAAAAATATTGAGAAGCGCATGAAGAAATTCGTTGAAGACATTACGAAGATCGCAAAGGGCTTCAGCGACATGAGGACCGCAGTCGGGGATCTCCCTCGCCCTGCAGAGGCCAGACTAGATCGTTCTAACCCAGATAACATCTTTGCCCCGAAAGATGCTAGCTACAGACGCGATGGACAATACTCTCCGGACGCCACCCCTCCCCCTAAGAGCCGGTCCACCAGCCCAGGAAGTTACACGGCTCCCAACCCGGAAGCCAAGACACTGGAACGACTCCTCAGTCTTCAGTGTTTCCTCCGGAGCGAGTTTTCTCTCCAACAACTTGCTCTCAAGGGCAAATACCATTTCCTTTTGTTCAGGAAGGGATCAGATCACACTCAGTTTTGGTTTCTGGCTTTTGCTCTTTTAGTTTCAGGCTTATTGGCTTTTGTTCTGTCCTTTTCTCGGTCCTTCTATTTGGCGATGCATTCAGGAAATGCATCAGGGAAAGTGCGACTTGCTTGGTTTGGGTTTTCATAGGTTGGATATTGGATTAAGGGGTATCACGCGATTTTTTACGGGCTGGAATAGCTGGAAGTGCTGAAAGAAGTTTGGGGAAACAAGATGGAAACGAGAAAAAGAGGCTTGCGGGACAAGTCTTGCAGAAAATCAGGGGATTTTTTTTTTTTTTTTAGTTTGTCTACTTGGTTTCTTCTCGGTGAGGAGAAGGGACTGATGAATAATAAACTTGATTTTCACCCCCCAGAAACCGACCTCATGTTGATGATATACTTTCCTGAAGCTTGAATGCTTGAGTTGTAATTCTAACTCATGTGGTGAATGAGTCCCCGGGAAGTACACAAGTACTCATCAATGGGGCGGACTGTGGACGAGAGTTCGAGTAAGCCTTTTGACAGCAGTGAGTTAACATCGAATCGGGACGTCTGCGATTTGATTGATACCACGTTTTTGTACGTTACTATGTACAGTTGACACTTTTCTGTCTTTCCGTTCACTGTATACGCTTGAAACCTTTTAACCCTCATCCAACCCCAACCATTAATTACAGTTAATCCTTTTTGTGTCGAAACCAGACCAAACCCAACCACCCAACCAATTAACCATTCTATATATGCCAAAAAAATACTCATACAACATCAACATCCAAAGCATTCACTTCATTCTCACCCTTTCTTTACAGCCTCTCAATCAGCCCACCCAAAAACCTCCGCCACACTCATCGTATTCACCCTTACCCCGGTCAACCCAACCAACACACCCACCAAGTCCACCACCAGCAACGTAACCGCGGCCGTCATGAACCGCGGACTAAACACCCGATAAAGCATCAAATGTCTCCTCAGATGGCCAGCCCACATCATACTCGCCAACGCCTCGGTAGCATAAAACGCCACGAACACCGCCAACGCCCTGGAAACACTTCCCAAGATTCCGCGTCTCTTGGGTCCGCTCTTCCAGAGGACGAGCATCGGCACGAGGATCGTAGCAAGGATCTGGCCCGCAAAAGTGTTGAGGACGACCAAAATGGGAGACCAGGGGTATTTGATGCTGTAGAGAGGAATGAAAGCCGAGTCCCATTGGATGGAAGACAGAACGGCCTGGTGGCCGGTCTTGAAAAAGGCATTTTGGCCGAGGAGAGCCAACATGACGGGGCCGATGGGGTTGCTGCCGATGGGCAAGTTCAACAGGTCGAGGATCTCAAGGAGGGAAAGGGATTGCCAGAGGGTTAGGGCGAGAGCGCCGGCGCCCATGGGTTTGGTGAGCAGGAAGAGGGCGACGAAGAAGTTGAGCGGGAGCAAGAGGTAGCGAGCGCCGTGCGCGTTGCCGTAGCCTAGGACGGTCACCTGGGCGGTTTGCGCGCCGGGGATGGCGGCAAGATGGTTCGAGGCGGCATCCGCTGGGGAGCGGCGAAGCGCGGTGGTGACGATGGAGATGCAGGGAGGGGCCCAGACGAAGGCCGTGGAACCGGCGACGAGGGCCAGGCCGAGGATCATTTGCGCGGTGTAAACGGAGAGGGTCTTGAGGGCCTTATCTGGGAGAGGGGGAAGGGAGGCGAGGGTCTCGGAGGCCGAGGCAGGGAGGTAGGAGGAGAGAGATGAGAGCCAGTTGCCGTTGTCGGCGGCGTCGAGGACCCAGTAGATGGCTGAGAAGAAGAGGCCGGCACGAAAGATGTAGCCGATCCAGGTTGGGCGAGACCCTCGTAGGACCTGGAAGGCGCAAGGTAGGCCTTGATGATGGAAGGGAGAATCATGACGGCGATGAAGGGAATGGCCAGTTGCCAGGGGGCCGAGGTCGAGGAGGTGGCGCTGGCGTAGTAGGTCGACGTGCAGTACGGCATCTGTTCCTCACGACAGAGCTTGGAGAAGGAGGCAAGACGGCCGAGCAGGACGAAGAGGATGGAATGGTAGATGGCCATGTAGCGGTCCGGAAGCGATTCCATGCGGAAAGCAGAGAGGGCCGTAACGATACCAAAGGTGGTCATCAAAAAGACCTGGATTGAATCCTCCCAGATGGTGTACGAGTTGGAGGCGAAGCCGATAGACTGGCTAACGGTAAAGACCACGGCCATCCAGCCCCAAAGAGTGTTGGGGAGGACGTTAAAGTAGGCTCCCTCAGCGTCGTAGAGAGCGACCATGACGGTGGCAATACTGGTGAAAGCACTGAGGGCTGAGCCGCGATACCAATCGCCATTACCAGACAGGTAGGATTGCAAAAGTCCGCCGAAGAAGCCGGGAAGGGCTCCCAACATGGCGGCACGGAACAGGCGCTTCTCCAGGTTTTGGCCTTCATCAGCGGTGATACCCTGTAGCTCCAGGCTCTTCTCGGCATGATCAAGCTCGGAGTCCTCGATCACCAAGACGTCGTCGTCTTCAGTACGTTTGTTGACGTAGACGAGAAGAGCAATGACACCGGACGCCATGATGCTAATGCCGATGACCATGTTCTTAACATCGAACCTGGCCCAGAGGCTCTTGGAGTAATCCAAGGTCTCCTTCTGATACTCAGCATAGGCCGAAAACACAGGCTCCCAGCTATAACCCTTCTTGACCTTGCCCGTGGGAACGGAAGCCTCAGCCTTATCCCACAAGTCAGCAGGCGAACCAGGGGTCACAGCCTGCTCGATTCCGCGAGCAGAGAAGTACGACGTCTGGTAACGCTTGATGCCAGCGGCAGCCATGCGCTCCGCAGCAGCCAACTTATCCCAGGCATTGCCACGGGGGCCAACAAATGCCTCCTCGATCGGGTGACCCAAGTTGTTGTAAGGAATGGGGATACCCATGAGCAGCGCCAGAGTCGGGACAAGGTCGATTTGGTTGACGGGGCGAGTCTTGGCAATAGCCGGGGGAGTGACGTACTCGGGCTTGGTTCTGCCGAACACAGGCTTGGGAGAATACATCCACAGAGCAGCTTCGACCTCATCCTCGCTCTCGCCGCCGTGATCTCCCTTGCTGTCCATACCATGGTCACCCATGACGATCAACAGAGTGTCGTCGTCAATGTTGGACGCCAGATTCTTGATAAACGTGTTCATCTGCTGCAGCTTCTTGGCCGTCTCGGGGTGGTCGGGTCCGTAGCGGTGGCCGGCGTGGTCGACACCGAGAAGATGCGCAATAGCGACATCCCACTCGCCCTTGCGCTTCATCAGGGGGAAGATGTGTTCGATAACACCATTGTCAACTGTGTGCAAATCCCAAACGTTGAAGCTATCGTAGGCCCGGCTCAGGTTAGCCTGGAAGTAGCCCGGGAAGAGCGACTCCCATGTATCATCTCCAAGGTGTACGATGCGCTTGCCGGCGTCGCGGAACTGCATAAGCAGGTTATCCTCCTCGATAGCGGTACCGGCAAAGCTGCTGCCAACATCCACAAAGGTGGGCAAGGTGCCAGTAGTCAGGCCTTTGAGCCTTTGGAGTGTTGAGGTAGGGGGGTCGGCGATGAACGGTCTGAGCACGGCGTTGTTGGGCGAGGCCAGCGCGGTATCGTACATGAAGGGGAACGCATTATGGAAGGGGGCGTCGTCCTTGACGGGGACGGTAAAGTCGTAGCGTAGCGCATCGACCACGACAACCACAGCCCGCTCGAAGGTCTTGGGGTGCCAGCAACCTCCGTCCACGGTTCCCTTGCCCTTCCAGTTCGGCAGAATGTCCACGATCCCGTTGATGGTGCTAGTATTCAAAGTCGGCGGCGCATCGCACACGGACTTGTCGTCCAGCATCAGACGGGTCAGGAGGAAGCCGCTGGTGAAGTAGGCAATGCCGACGACGTGGATCAGCAGCATCCAAATCCAGAAGCCAACGGTCCACAGCCAGCGAGCCTCGAAGCTCGACTTGCGCTTGGCCTCGAGGGCGGCGCGCTGCTTGTCAGCCAGACTGACGCGGTCTTGTTGCTCCTTCTTAGCGGCTTCACCGCCTGCCGCTCTCGCTACTCCAGCTGCTGTTCGTGCCTTTGCTGCATCTTGGGCTTCCTTTGCGCGCTTCGCGGCGGCGAACTTGGCAGCGATTGCCTGGTATTCCGTCTGCGACTGCGGCGGGGGTTTCTTCGATGTCGGTTTTGTCGGCGGCGCCATCGTGGCGGTTCCGGCGAGGGAACGGAGGGAGGGAGGAGAGGAGAGGAGGAGAGCCCGAGGGGCTGCGCGCGGCGGGGGACGGAGCTAGAGATCGACTCGGAAGCCCGGGGAGGAGGAGCGCTTTGGAGACCAGCACTGAGTTGTAGTCAGTGGGATTCTTGTTAGGGTCCGTCGAAGAAAGAAATAAAGGGGTTATAATCGGAACGAGCGAGGTATGAAGTCCCGTGTCCCAGTGGTGGGAAGGGCGCAAATGGAGTGTCGGTGTCGGTGTCCCCGTCTCGGTATCTCGCTGCCGACTGTGTGTTGGGGACGGTGGGGTTGTTTGGGGAGATGTCAATGGATCAAAGAGCAAAGCGTGGAGCCGTCGATGATGAGGTGCAGGAAGCTCCAATTGCGAAAGATGTATTGCGTGGGAGTATAGGGTGTATTTTGAACAACACAAAAAGATCAACGCGTCAATCCATTTCTTAAAGTTGGAAAGTTCAATTGCACAATTCTCCCCAGCAAACTTGTTGCATTCTAGACTTCAAATGTCAGTGTCTCTTTCCTTGTATCTTGAACGTGTGCTGTGACAGCTTCCCCACACTCCACCGGCCGACGCCTCCGTACTCCGAAGGTGTCGTGAGATTGGTCCCGGGGCACATGTTAGCATCACGGCTTCAACCCTAACCCTCCAAAGCTTCCATCCCGAAATATCCCCATGCTCTTCCGAGTCAGTCTTCTGGTGATCGGCCCCTGATCGGACAGGATCCGTTGAGTTAAAAGCCAAAGGCTTCATAGAAGGAGCTGTCACTGCCTGTTTCACCTCAATCAAGGTCTGTCATTGTGCGGAGGCTGAGTAGGGTATATTTATGAAAAAGGCCGTCCGGGTCTAATGGAAATAGGTATATACAAGAAAATGAGAACCCTCCGTGGCTGCGTTTTGCGAGCCTTTTTTTCTCTAGTGGTCCAGATCTTTGAATCATCTCTATGTGGTTGGTGGTTGAACAAAGGAGACGTTAAAAAGCTCGGCCAGGGTGACGGAGCCTCGAATAGAAATTACACAATACTAGAATAGCGATGATGCATGCACACAAAGGTAAAAGAGGTAGCTATATCAACCACTTCTTTTCCCAACTTGTCGCTTTCCCAATGATAAAAATACGTCGCAATTGAAAATGCCCGCTTTCTTTTCCCACAAGATCCGTCAAGAAGAATGAAAACCTCCCCGGTCAACATGTGCGGGGCCGAAGTTGCGGCGTGGCTAATATGTACACAATGTACAGGGGCATCCGGGAGACCAAATATGTGCTGTGATGCTTCAGGCCTGCCTCTTCCCCAGATGCATGATCCCATCTCTTTCGAACGCCCGTCTGGCGGCGGGCTAGCCTCGTCCAGCGCGCGGAATCAGACTTTTCTCCTTGGAAATGTAGAAAGAAGTAAACAGCTCTCGCCGTGCGGTAGAGTCCCATGTTTCCTGTACACGCCTTGAAACTCCGTAACTTGAACAAGAAAAAAGCCATCAATGCAACAGCGAACCCCAACAGCCTCATGTGCCGACAAGAAAGAAAGGAGCACAGCAAGCTCTTCAATTTGCCACTTTTTTTTTTTTTTTTGAGTTGTGCCGTTTATATTTACACTTTAACGGTACTCCTTCTCCTTGAGTCCGCCGATCTTCTCGATGTCGACGGAGACAAACTGCGAGTTGCTTTCCTTCTCGTAGGCAGGGAGCTGCTCATCCTGGCGGGGCTCGAGGCCAATGGTCGACTCTCCAAGTCTGACAACGAGGACGCGACCGCTGCGCTGGCGGCCTTGATCATCCTGCTCATCAGGGAACGTAATGTGGATTTCGGGAACGTTGTCGGGCGAGTGAGGAGGGGAAGACGGGTTCTGCAGCATGGGCTGTCCATCCTTGAAGACAATGACGCTAGACCGGGGGGCGCCGGGCCCGGTCGAGATCGTAAGGCGTCGGTGATTACTGGAACGCTTCTGTTCGTCGTGGTACTGAGGAAGACTCTCGTTGTGTCCGGTGGTCTTTTGCTTGATTCTCTTGAGGAGCAAGAGAATGGTGACTGAAAGAAGGGCGCAAAAGACGAGCACCAGGAGGGCGATCATTAGGTTGACGAGGTTGGCATTAGGCGACTCATCGTCGACGGTGCGGCGAACAAAGCTTTTGAGCGACTCCATTTTGAAGTTTGGTGTATGTAAAGAGTGTAAGGTTTATATGTGGTGGTATGTGGTGTACGAGTGTGTTGTACGCGTGTATGTACGCTTGGTAGAACGAATGTCGGGTCGTCGATGTAAGATTGGTCGTGGGACTCGGTAATGCTTCTTCAAAGGCTATAAACGATGGATATACCGGGATTCTGGATCTGTGAAGTCAGACGGTTAGCAAGTTGCCTCATCTCATGGTTGTTGGCGCGCAATGCCCAAGGATCGCGAGTTTGGTCTTTGTCCATAGTCTAGTTCCCATTCCTGGACTGCTATGCAGAGACTCTATGGGCTCTTGGACTCTTGGACTCTTGGGCTCAGGGGGGTCAGGCGCTCAGGGGGCTCTGCTCGGAGACGTACGCAAGGGATGGCCGTATCACGAATCTACCCAAGATATATCGTCTGGTCCAAAAGCGTCGTGGTCGGTGGGGATCTGCGTGAAAAGGGAAAAAAAGACTGGACGGAATCGACTAAGAGAGTGAAGTCGAGACCAAGGGGGTTGCGAAGGAAGGAATGGGTTGGTTGGAAAGAATGACAAAGTGCAGTCCCCTAGACCGTTGACGCCGACGATGGTTTGGTGTTTGGTTGAAGAAGTTGGGATGGAGGAGTTGGGGGAAAGCAAAAGAGGAGAACAAGAAGGACCCGGCCGGTTCAAGAGAGCGAGCGACAAGACGGGCGCTGGCCTTCTGGCCCGGCCTGACAACCCCCCCAGGCACAGGCTCTACCAGACTCCATCCCGGCCAGGAGGGTGCCATCCCAGTGCCATCCTGCCCTGGCCGTTTGGCTCGAGGTGCTTGACTGGCCGCAACGGGCTCGCGTGTGGGATCTGGTGGGCTCGCAGGGCTCCATCCGTCAGGGGGAGCTGGGGAACAAAAAGGAGCTACAACCCAAACAGGAACAGGCACTTTTTCGACCTGCACACCAAAAGCAGGGGCCGCTCAAAAGCTCATCCAGGGCGCCAACCAGAGCACGCCGTCCACGCTCCATTCGCTTTCGAGATTGGGATGACGGCCCCGCCCAATACGGGGGCTGTCCAATCATACTGTCAAGCGGTCGATGAGGGCGGGTCCAATTTGTGATTGTCGCCTAGGGCCCATTTGGCTCTGTTTTTGGATCGCAGGGTGTGGACGGGTCACCCTCAGAACTGGAAAATGGAAAGGGAAACCACGAATGAACCATGGCTCGTGCTCGATTCGGCTTTCCGCCCCCCAAGATTGCATGACAATGCGCAATGCAGCATTGCAATGTGGGCCGCATATTGCTGGGATGAGGGCGTTCGCCTGGCTGTGAAGAAGTTTGTCAATGTCTCGTCACAATTCCAGTGCATTTGCTTCATCTGGGTCGGTGGACACTCGCCTGAAGCCATCATCGAGGCCCCAAGTCGAACTTGTCCCGGCTTATCGATAAGCGCTTGGTACCTCCAGGTCCCGTCTTGGCTCACTGGCTCAGTCGTTCTTACCTCTAGCTCAGTTGCAACCGCCAGAAACAACTTCCTTCCTCTGCTGCAAAGACGAGCAACGACATTGATTCGTCCGAATCTGTCAGGTGCTTTTGTTTAGTTTCTCGTCACCTCTGAGTGTCTTGTCCTAGTTTCCTTCCTCCTTTCCTCACTCTTCTTTCTGCCCGGCGTATCGCCTCCTTTTGCCAGCGCACCACCGTTTACACACAACCATTCATCTTCAACACGCCACCGACTCCAGTTCTGACGCACTTGCATCACAGCGCCGCTTCGTGCTTACCTGCCATGATCACCAACGTCCAGAGCTCACTCAGTCAGCGCTCGGTTGATGCCGACGAACAGGCGCCATTCTGATCACTAACCCATAAGGCTGCAGCTTCGCGGTACGGCGACATCCAATGATCAGTCTTCACCATTCCCCCGCATCCCTCTGTGCCTTATCTGGCGAGCCACAGACGACACTCATCAAGGACAAGCCGACAGGATTTCTTTGGCGATTCGCCCTCAATTGGCTTTGGGGTCCTGTTGTCGGCTACAATTCATCGCCATACTACTTGGTACGACGAACACTTCGCCAGAGTTCCGATGTCTGTCTTACTAGGTATGCCAGACCTGATGATTCTGGAAGCGGTCCAGGGATGACTGAAGGCAACACTGGCGCCCAAGTCTTGGCAACTTTCTCTGTCTCCTCTGAACAAGTGTTCCTGCGGCAGATGCGCCATCCGGATGTTTTCATCTTCGCGGCGCTAATGGGTTGAGTTGGCTGGCCGGCCTTCTCGAATGAGCATGGTTATGAGGACTTGTGACCACAACGACCCAAAACACTCGCAAGGTCTGGCAGACTCAAATGGAAAGGAATCACCATCAACATCCATCGACTTTGTCGGATTTCTGTTGGTTTGTAATTCCGCTGCCGGACCCGGAGCCGCTTGGCACTGTAACGACATGCTGTCCTACTGCGATTGTTGGAGCAGATCCTTCAGCCAGACGGCCTTGACTGCAGGCGACCGTGTCAAAGGTCAGTGACTGGAGGGTGCGACAACAATGTGCTCTCAGACCACTTGGGGATTGCCACTTTCCTCTTGTGAGACGTGAAAAGCTCATGTACCGGAGCAACAGGGCGAACCCTTTTGGTCACATGAGCAGTTGGGTATACTGTTGCCATGTTTCCACTCATGTCAAAGTACGTCGTGCCCTTCTTTCCAGCCAGTGTTGGACTCTCGACACAGCTCGTCTGGGAGAAATCGATTCTGGAATCCAGTTTTCGGGTTGAGTGTCTGCGAGCCGGTACGCCGGTTGGTATGGCGCCAACGTTCAAGAGCTCTTTTAAACGTGGACAATCCAAACTAAATCGGTCTCTGAGAACGTCGGAACGATGACGGAGGGAAGGGATGCTTCTGGCCAAGATGCTCACAAGAACAGTATTTCACGTGCTCCCTCCGATCTCCTATTATACGATTCGCTGCGCTTGCTTTCGCAGCGGTGGTGGGTAGTAGTGAGCTGGAGAGTAGTTGGGAGCCGCATGAGAGTTGTTCAAAACCGAATGCTGGCTCTCCAGGAGGGGTGGAAAATGTGTCGCAAAAGGCGGGTACGGTTGGCGTTCTCGATTCAAAGGACTGCTTGTTGGCATTGGCCGCTGAAGCTGAGGAGGATCTCCCAATCTTTTCAATCCCTGGCAAGAGTGAGTTGGTGATACTAACAACGGTTCAAAACAATCACCCTGGTTCAGCCCAGTGCCAACTACAACATCCGCACGCATACGATCGACAAACCGTATCTTGCACTCCCGATGAGCGATCAATCTGAGCAGTGATGTGCATACGCCATTCTTGCGGGCTCTCCCGAGTCGCGCAAGCTGAGACATTGCCAACCTCAGCATACCCAAGGACCATCACGGCACATCCTGCCATATTCCCCAGCTTCTAGCCTCACTAATCGTATTTTGCGACGGAACAAACGCGATGCGAAAACTGGAGGAACAGCGAATGTACCAGACGGCAATCCTGGTCCAGTTCGCACGCTTGTTACTTGTTACCTACTTTACAACAATAGACTGACAATAATTTGCGCATTCCACGCAAATAGCATGGGCTCCCGTACGTATTGAGGGTGTACAACATCCTCCTCCCAGTCCGGTTGGTGCCCGAAGCCGTTTTGTTTTACCGTTGGAATCGAGACCAGCGGGTGTCACAAACGGCGCCCATTTATGAAACAGCAAATGCGAATGTATACAAAGGGTAACGGGAACCCCAGTCAGCATGTTGGAATAGCGGCGAGACATGCGCCTTTCACATATCCTCGGTCTTTTCCCTCGCCTGATCTTAGGCGGAACGGACAAGGACAGCAGACAAAGGGCATTCCTCCAACGATGGAGCCTTGACAGGAAACCACCATCCCTTGCTTCACACTTGGAGACGTGATTTTTGTTAGTAGGCCCCCGCCTACTCTATGTGATTTATGAGACTATGAAACAACCTCCTGGTGTCTCTTAACAAACGTTTCCCTTCATACCATCGGATGGTTGAAGGTGGTCGGCCACCTCTGAGGACCGGCAGTCAGTCCCGCATAGCACAACAGTTCACGGAATATGTAACTTGACTAGTTTGACTGCTGCATGTCAACAGACATTGTGTTATCCTCATGCCAGATCCTGCTCAATACATGAGTAACATATCCATCACTACTAGCTACAAGACATTCATGGCAGAGGACCCGGCCACCCTAGTCAGCCGTGTCCGTCCGGCCGACAAAAGCTCGTCTTTCACCTAGGTCTAGGCCAGTGGCTGGCGTTTGAAAGCGGCCCTCTTTATTATGAGTATTGGACAGACATCAGTTGAACATATACAACCGTTATGGCCAACAAATTGTGAAACTGGAGAGGCACACACTGCCCGTATACTTATACTTTAATGGCCGTTGGTTTGTCGTCCTCGGCCTTGCTCTTTGTAGGATAACCTGTTATCTGTCGGTCATTCAGCATGTTCCGCGACCTATCCTTAATCCCGGCGATATATAAAGCAAACATAATGGGTACCCTAGCGACGTAATCTGCAAACAATACGCAGATTGCCGCAAGCTCGGAAAAGAAGAAAGCAATAGTCAAAGGTTGGGAGGAACCAACGTCGTGGAAATTACCTGTTATCATAGAGATTATTCCTCGATATTTCCCACCAGCGCCAACGGGAAGCCCACCCACTCTTTCTTCCGGAACAAACCAGTCAGACACCAAATATCTCCCCAAGTAGTCGAAAGTCTACCTAGCGCTCCCGGAGGAGGCAAGTAACGGCTGGGGCGGGCGTGCCATCACGTAGATGTAGGTTATCGTAACGCAGCATTGTTGTTGTTGTTGTTGCGGTGTCACCAAACCGGACGGATGGCTTCGGTTACTTGCTGGTGGTCTACAGTCCTGCTAGACCTGCAAGACTGCCCCCTTTGTTCTCGTTGGCCCGGCCTGTCTGTCACTCCTCGAAGGTCGTCAAGCAGAAAGAACTTGAGGGCTGATTTCAGCCATGACTTGGTTTGCGTGCAGGTTAATGTGTTGTGGCTTTCTTCGAACAAGAGCTGGACTGTTAATGTTAGCAGACTTTCAAAGTACCTTTGGGTTTTGGGGATCGAAACCAACACAAAAGGAAAAGTTGTGACCAGCGATCAACCAACATCGACCACCTACTAACGGTCGGTCCAAGGCTGTCCAACTGAACTGTCCAACTGTTCCACACCTTGGTATTCGGAAGATAGATATCTTTCGCTGCCGGAAGACAAGACAAGCAAGAGAGCGATCTATAAGCGGAACTTGCCCAACAACGCGGTCGCCATCTAGAACTTCATTTGGTCATTTCCCAAGCCTTGCGTTATCGACGTCATATCGTCTCCGCCTTATCTATTTCGACCCTTCAGATGTGCGATGTGAGAGATGTGAGAGATATGCGAGGTGCGTAGCTGCGTAGGTACCAACACACATACGCATCCGTCGTATTCAGTCCGTTGGCCATCGAAGATCTCGCCCCTCTCTCCCGCCACAGGCAGGTACCAGGCTTCTGCTGGGCCGGCTGCACAAAGAGCGAAGGCGTGCTCTACAGGAAATGGATGGCACTTTGTTGAACTGGCGGAATTTTCTAGACAGAACAGCCGGGCAGGTTCGAAGCTTGGAGGTTTGTGTCATGCTCGCTGCATGCAGTGTTGGCTGGAGTGCAGGTTTGGATCAACCAAGGGAGATTGTCAGGCACGGACATCTGCCCGAACGAAGCCCCAACGTGAACGGACCCCTTTGAACTTGTGAACCCTGTAACCTGTAACAAGGGAGCTAAAAACTCCACACTGTCGGCACTAACCGAAAACACCACCAAACAGAACAGCTGCAGCATCCACAGAACAACAGGAGACTCGACATCCATCATCGACAGGAAAGTCCATTCGAGAATACCTTTTGCATCTTCCAAGAAACCTCGACTTGCCACTGTCTACGATTTGCTTTATGCCAGCCCAGCGGCGTGCAGCCAGGCCCTGCCACCAAAAAAAGCACGACAAGTTGGACCAGGCACTTCAGGCATTCAATCGACTTTGTTGGATGCCGCCGCCGTTAGGTTCAGGTTGGTAACATACCTCTATGAAAACCGTAACAAAACTGAAAGGGTTGATTTTCAGGGCAAAACCCCCGTGTATCCCTGGCGTGTATCATTCCCGGCAGGAGACCATCAAACGCAATTGGACCGTGACGAAACAAAAAGTTGCAGCCGGGGCTCTCCCTATATCTTGGGCGATCCCCACTTCGCAGCAGCACGCCCGCCCTGTTCGCGGCCAGTCCCAGTCTCCAGGAAGGAGTCCCCCAGCCCACATTGCGTGCCCGCGTGCAGTCCCGCCGTCCACCTCCACCAACTTCCACTTGACCCTGGTTCATCCCTCCGCCGCGCGCGCGCCCAGCCCAGGTCCCGAACGTCTCGACGACACAAACTCACATACCTACCTTACATACACATAGAAACAGGGACTCCTGCAACTGAATGGGAGTTACCTAAGGCACTCGAGGTCTGCTGCATCAACCGAGGGCACGCACAACCACCAAGTTGGCTTTATTCCATTCCGTCAGCCAGTCACTCGGTCGGCATACGCTGCGGACGCCGTCCTAGTTCCGTCCTTGTGTTCTCACTCACCCTGCGCCCACCGCCCTCTGGAGCTGCCTGTCCCTCTCCATCTCATCCTTTTCTTCCTGCTCCCTTCCACCACTTGTCTATAAAGCACATCCATCCATGTCCTGATTGATTCTTCACCCTCTTTCTGTTCCCTTGGTTCGACACCAAACCCGGCAACCTATCATACGGATCCCTTTCTGGTCGCTATATTCTCACCAACCAGCGGTTGGGCTTGTTCCTACGCCCGTCGCTTTGAACATGGGATCTTACCTTACTTAGGCTTCCCGTCATATAGAGGTACTCCGAGCACTACTTCACTTCTTTCGGTTGGCTGTTGTTACATAGCACCCTGGCCTGAACCACCACGGCCACCACGTACCTTGCTACCCCCTAGTACCTACCTACCCCGGTTTTTCAGTTTGTACGTCTCCAACGTCTGAGACTGCAACCTCAGCCAAAGCAACCACTCTCCTCCCAAGCACTACATTTGCCAAACAGTTTCATTTCGAAGGGGAGTGCAACCCGTTTTATAAACACCCAGGTGGCCAGTCTGCTCAACAACAGCCGAGCAGCGCCCGACGCCTTACCTTCGGAGATTCTGTTTCTCTTCTTGTCCAGAACTACTACTGCAACAAAGGTATACATCCACGACACCTTTTGGACAGTCGACTTCGGCCTATGGTAAGTGCAAAAGTTCCCCCGCTCCCCCACAGTTTCTTTTTATCCCGTCTCTCAAGGGGGAGGAGGAAACGTCGTTGCTCCCCCGCCCGCCGCTGCCCATCTCCACTCCCGACGACTACCGGCCACCTCCCGCCGGTATAGGTTGCTCCGCTTTCCCCCGCGGGTAGTCCCGTCCAGTGTCGGGTCCCGGTCTAGACCCTCCGAAGTCCGGATGCCGGTGTCAAGACTGCCCAGGCGGGCAGGCGCGACGCGAAGAGAAGCGAGAGGCTCAAGGGCAGTAGTTGTCCTTGGGTTTGCCCCATCCTGTGCCGTCTTCATGGTGGCGGAACGCTGCCGTCGCTTTTCTTGTGCCTCTTCTCGTCGCCCCCGCCTTCTCTTGTCTCGATGCCCGATACTCACTTCCTTCCAGCCTTTCCACACATCATGACATGACACAAACTATGTTTTCTGTTACCATTCATAACTTGTTCCCTTGCTCTCATGCCATACTCCTCGTTCTGTGAATCACCATACAGTGCACCTCATTACCTCTGTTACTGCGATCGAATCTCGTCAGTTCTTGCCCAGCCAGTGCTAGTGGAGCTTCAAGCGTCATCGTCCTCCCCACTACTGGCGGCCGCACCATCAAAGTTCGGCCTCAAGGCAGGAAGGAGTAAAGGACGGTAGCCGCATGCCCTTTGCCGTAAAGGTACCCTTTGGGCTGTATTTTTCTCATTTCCGGACTTCACCATCTTCCTGCAAGGTGGGCCAGGGCTCCAACCCGTCCGTACACTGCAGCCCGAGCCTTTTCACATGATATGCACCCTATCTTCATCAAACCCGTGCTCGCCCAATCCGAATTCCTGTTACTCTTTGATCCCCCAGGGCATAGGGCTCCTTTTCCTGTCAATATAATTTCCATAAACCAACTCTCTTCATCTTCCCGCAATCGAAAACATCCCCGGCCCTCTTCCTTGTTGCCATCAACCATCAGTCTCATAAGCCCATTCATCTTCTGTATGAGTATCAACTTACGCATCTTCGTCCGATACAGCACATATGCCATATACTTCGTACCAGAGCAAGACGTTGTATCCGATAGACCACTCGAGGTTTCATCTCCAGAGTATTAATTCGAGAACACTGCAATAATCAACCATCTCGATACTCTAACCGTATCTTGAGGATCGGCATCATGTCTCCTAACAAATCGGTAAGCCCACTCGTCTCACACTTATCGAGTTACCACAATACTTTTTATATACCCATCATCTGTCGATACGGCAGTAGTTTCAACCACCATATCGCCCATCTGATTTCGACATCAGAGGGTCTCAGCTAACCGTTGGCAATGCAGCCCAACATGGGTCGTGGCCCAGGTCCACGTGGGGGCTTCCCTCCGTTCCGCCCCGAGAACAACCCGAATAACCATTCAAGTAATTTGCATAACCATCCGCAACGGGCAAGCTTTGAGTATGTTCCGTCGATATGGTCCAGTCCTAATGTTGTGTCTGAGGCCGGTGACCGGCCTTCGAGCACTTCCAGTGGCTCTAACGACTGGTCTTACTCTTACCCCAACCAGATGGTACACACCCGCAATGGAACGAACGGCTCGTCCCCCAAGACCTCGGTCCCTCCAGGTCTTTCCTATCAGCTCGGTGGAATGAACTCCTCCATGAGACGCCCTTCCCACGATCACGGATTTGGTATCTTGGAGCAGGCGGGTGAGCGCGCGGGCGCGGGCGCCTTCAACATCGCATCATCGGGCCCTTCCGAATCGACGGAGCGGCATGAGCTTAGTTTGCAATTATTTGACGCGACACAACTCTCGCATCGATCATCGGTCGTCCCCACCACTTCGAGCTTTTCTCAGACCTGGAAGAGCAACAACCGAGGCAGCGTTGGGGATGGGGGTGTGCAGACAAGTGCTTCTTGGCTGCCACAGAGGCCGCTAGCAGAGATACCGGATACCTCTACCGAGCGCCCGGTATTTCCTTCGAACCCCTGGAACAATTCGTCACCTTCTGTGGCTGCCTCAGCCCGGCCTTTCACGCCCGCGAGTCCGACAACTTGGAACGGTGAATCCGTCAACGGATTCCAGGCTGGCAATGGGTTCTCAAACGGCAATGGATTTGCAAACGGAAGTGGATTCGCGGATAGTGTTGGACTCCCGACTGGCAACAGATTCCAGAGTGACAACGCATTCCACCAAAACTCTGGCTTCACCATCAACAACTTCACAAACTTTGGCAGCGGTCAACATTCTCGCTCAAGTTTCTCACAGACACAGTCTAGACGCGACTATTCAACCCCCACGAACTTCGACCGCCGAGCCAGCAGTCAGTCTTTCAGTCAGCAGCCTCAGCCTACGTCGAATGTGCCTATCGATCCCGTATTGTTTCAGCAGCAATTACAGATGTACAACATGGCCACGAATCTGGGAATGGGCGCGGCATACCCACATCCTTCTTTGCCGACGAATGGCTTGGTCATGGGTGCGATGGGTTCTGGAAGCGTGCAGAATGCCAAGCTCCGTGAATACTTGAACAGCCGTAATGCGCCGCAAAAGTGGGATCTCAAGGTAAGTCTCTCTTCTATGGAAGTAGCTCTGCTTGTAGCGAAACTAACGTTGAACTAGCAAATCCAAGGGTCGATTGCGGACTTTGCTGCCGACAGGACCGGTTCCAGGTTCATTCAGGAAAAGCTCCAGTCTGCCAGCAGTGAAGAGAAGACGTTTGTCTTCCAAGAGCTCTATGATGAGCTGATACCCCTCATGACTGATGTGTACGGGAACTACGTCGTGCAGAAGTTTTTCGAACACGGCACGCAGGAGCAGAAGACCAAAATGGCACTCGTGATCAAGGACAACATGTTGCGACTTTCGGAGAACAAGTACGGCTGCCGGGTTGTGCAAAAGGCCCTCGACAACATCTTCAGCAATTACAAGGTTGAGCTTGTAAGTGAGTTAAGAGGTCACATCGACAAACTCAACAAGTCCCAGGAGGGCAACCATGTGATCCAGATGATCATCAAGCTCTTGCCCCGAGAGAACATTGGGTTCATCTACGACTCCTTCAGAGGGCCTGGCAAGGTGATGGAACTGGCGCTTAACCAGTACGCTTGCAGAGTCATCCAGCGAACCTTGGAGCACGGAAACGAAGAGGACAGGCTCTATCTTGTGTCGGAGTTGCACAAGGGTGCCCACACATTGATCACAGATGCGTACGGAAACTATGTTGCCCAGCACATCATCGAAGCAGGGAAATCCGAAGACCGCGCCCGCATGATCGCTACAGTCATGTCCCAGGCGGTCGCCCTCTCCACACACAAACACGCTTCGAACGTGGTGGAGAAGTGCATCAAGTATGGCACGCCGGAGGACGTTCGCCGTATTAGGGACATGTTCTTCAACCCGCAAGACGGGGTTGGAGGATATTCCTCAGAACAGCAGTCGCCCGATTCGTTTCTGCGGTATCTCATGCTGGATCATTTTGCCAACTACGTGATTCGTAAGTTGAAAGATGGCCTCCGTATTTCCACCAAAGATAGCCGCTAACATACAAAACAGACAAACTCGTCAAGCACTCGACGTTCGTCATTGAAGAACAGCAATTCTTTGTCGACACGCTCGAGCCCAAGATCAACGAGCTTCTCAAGAACCACAAGGGCCTAGACGAGAGGCAGCGAAACGCCCTCAAGAAGTTCCAAGGTATCATCAACGAGCTGAGGAAGGACATTGAAAAGAAGGAGAAACTTGCCAAGAACGGCAACAGTACGCCCCCCTCGCTCGGTCCGGCATCGCCCTCTCTCCATATCACCTCGGCCCTACCGACGCCCGATGGCGGATCCGAACCCAACAGCCCGCTGGACCTGGGAATGACCCCCACCACCAACGCTACTAGCTCTGCTGGAAGTGCTAATGGGGACGGAAAGCAGTCGATGGATGTCAATGTCACCACTGTGAATGGGAAGCTGAACACCAGCGAGGCCTTTGCGCAGTTGCAGATTCGTGAAAACAACGCTTAGTGCGCCGATGCGGGTCACGGTCTGGGTCTTCTGAAGCGCATTTGAGGTACGGTTTTAGAGGTCCTATTTGCAGTCTGAGACTTCTCGGGGCTTAATTGTTAAACGAGCACCCAGCTCCCTCGATATACGGAGAGAAGGGTCGAATTTCCTTCGACCTCGTTCAGTTTGTTTATTTGCAAACAAGCACATAACGTCACACAGTTTACTTTCGACGACACACAGACAGACATACAGTTCCAGCCTGGCTGGCTGGGGCTCGATATATCCATGGGTTCGGACCATACTACACGACAAACGGATGTAGTACTTGGTTTCAGAATTCGGACGGACATGATGAATTTAAAAGAATATATCTGGATGGATGGATGGATGGATGGATGGATGGATGGATGGATGGATGGATGGATGGATGGATGGATGGATGAAGATGAAGATGAAGCCACAGCCACTGTTGACGGAAGGTAGCTTGGGTCGAATGGTGTTTTCACGCCTGTTTCCCTGAGTGGGTACTTCCGTCACTTGGCTTCGTGGTGGACTCTTCCTGCCACTTATACCATTTCTGCCGATAACCGATATTCAAGTCTACAAAATTGGGGGGAGCGTTACATACCCGGATACCTTAACGAGCGGTGTGGGGAAGAAGGAGGGAGGGAGGAATGAAATAGGCCAGTCAGCGAGAAGCGAGAATCTTGCTGGCACGAAACACAACGCAGCGCAGCGTTGGTTTATTTTTTTCTTTTTCTTGTTTTCTGTTTTGTTGATACAGGTTCTTTTTACTACACACATTGCTATTCGTTTATATAATTCTAGCGTATACATTTATTAAACTTTGTTTGACTTTACTTGACATGGATGTCTGCTGTCCTGCCTTGCCTTGCCTTGCCTTGCCTTGCTTGGGCTGGTGTGTTGAACGGTGATGATGCATCGATGACATGAATTCAGGAACATAGGATCGGGAGCGAAACATAAGACACAGGTATCATCCTCCCTATCATTATCATTAGGCATGCATTCAGATCCAGTCACCAAAATGTCCAGTGTCACGAAGGAGGCGCGATATCAAATGATCTGGTAAAATCCATTCCTTTTCATTCCTATAAAATTTTAGAAACGCAGAAAGCGTCCTGGTGGTATGAGAAGTATCCATGCCTGTTCCACGTTTTCCTTTTCATTTTTATACCCTCAAACGCCGTGTTGAGATGGCGGCAACCCCGTCTCATAAAATGCTGATGCTCTGTTGAAAAATCATAAATCCGGTTTTTCCCCTTGTCCCTGTGGTATCGAACGCCGAGTTGAAGTGGCGCTATTTGTTGTGAGGTATCATGATCATTCCTTTCCCATAATTTTGTAACATAAATCCGTGAAGTGAACCCTTTGACCGCCTCTGTCAATGCTAATGCTGTTGAAGAAAAACCCGGAATAATTAAAAGCACGTCACGCATCCCATCATCTGAGATGCGCATTTGTCGAGAAAACTCTTTAAGCCTTGTTGGCATACTTCTCGCGGAAGAACTTGGCGGCCTCAACCATGTGGGAGAGAGCACCCTTGACCTCATCCCACTTGCGGGTCTTGAGACCGCAGTCGGGGTTGATCCAGAGCTGCTCAGGCTTGAGGTAGGCAAGCATCTCCTCGATGCGCTGCTTGAACTCGTCAAGGGTGGGGACACGAGGAGAGTGGATGTCGTAGACACCAGGGCCGATGTGGCGGGGGTACTCCTCGTCAATGAAGACCTTGAGGAGCTTGGCATCGGACTTGGAGTTCTCGATGGAGAGGACATCGGCATCAAGGGCAGCGATGGCATGGAAGAAGTCCTGGAACTCAGAGTAGCAGAAGTGAGAGTGGATCTGAGTGGAGTTCTCGACGCCAGCGGTGGCGAGCTTGAAGGAGTCGACGGCCCACTTGAGGTAAGCCTCACGCTCCTCACCCTTGCGGAGGGGAAGACCCTCACGAAGGGCAGGCTCATCGACCTGGATGACGTAGATGCCGTTCTTCTCAAGGTCGACGACCTCGTCGCGGAGAGCCAGAGCGAGCTGCTGGCACTGGACGGACTGGTGAACGTCGACACGGGGGAAAGACCAGCGGAGGCAGGTAACGGGGCCAGTAAGCATGCCCTTCATGGGCTTCTTGGAGATGGAGGCAGCGTACTTGGACTCCTTGACGGTCATGGGAGCGGGGCGAGAGATATCACCGACAATGATGGGGGGACGGACGCAGCGGGAGCCATAAGACTGGACCCAGGCGTGGGTGGTGAAGACGTAGCCGTTGAGGCGCTCACCGAAGTACTGGACCATGTCGTTACGCTCGGGCTCACCGTGGACGTAGACATCGAGGTCAAGCTCATCCTGGATCTTGACGGCAAGCTCAATCTCCTTCTCAATGAAGCGCTCGTACTCCTCAGCGGAGATCTCACCCTTGGTGAACTTGTTACGCTGGACACGGATCTCGGAGGTCTGGGGGAAAGAGCCAATGGTGGTGGTGGGGAAGAGAGGGAGAGAAAGGTGCTTCTTCTGCTCGGCGTAGCGAGTGTCGAAGGAGGCCTTGCGGTTGTGCTGCTCAGGGGTGACCTGGGCCTGGCGCTCCTTGACAGCGGGGTCGTTGGTGCGCTTGGAGTCAGTGCGGGCCTTGATGGCAGCAGCGTTGGCCTCGAGCTCAGCCTTGACGGCCTCGGGTTCAGTCACAGCCTTGGCAAGGGTAGCGACCTCCTTGACCTTCTCAACGGCGAAAGAGAACCACTCGTAGACATCAGAGGGGAGCTTCTTCTCGCTGGCGAGGGTGTGGGGAGTGTGGAGGAGGGAGCTGGAGGTGGCGACAATGACGCGCTCAGGGCCGAGGGCCTTGACGGCAGTCTGGAGGATCTCGAGCGACTTGGCGAAGTCGTTCTTCCAGATGTTGCGACCATCGACAACACCGGCAGAGAGGATCTGGTTGGGGCCGAGCTGCTTGAGGACGGGCTCAAGCTGCTCGGGGTTGCGGACAAGGTCGACGTGGAGACCGGCAGCGGCAGAGAAAGCGGGGAGGACGTCGAAGTTGTGGACGATGTCACCGAAGTAGGTGGCAACGATGACCTTGGGGACGGCGTCGCCAGCGGCGGCAATGGCCTCATAGGCGGGCTTGAAGGCAGCCTTGACCTCGGGGCGGAGATCGAAGACGAGGACGGGCTCGTCAATCTGAACAGACTCGGCACCAGCGGCCTTGAGCTGCTTCAGGAGCTCGACGTAGACAGGGACAAGCTTGTCGAGGAGGGTGATGGGGTCGACGGAGGAGCCACGGTCAGCCTTGCCAAGAGCAAGGAAGGAGACGGGGCCGACAAGGACGGGGCGGGTCTGGAAACCGGCCTCCTTGGCCTCGAGGAACTCGCGGACGGGCTTGGGGTCCTTGGCGAGGGAGAAGGTCTGGTTGTCCTGGAGAGTGGGCTTGACGTAGTGGTAGTTGGAGTCAAACCACTTGACCATCTCGAGGGCGGGGACATCGACACCACCCTTCTGGTGGCCACGGCCCATGGCGAAGTACTCATCGAGAGGGGAGAGCTTCTGGGAGGTGTAACGCTCGGGGACAGCCTGTAAAAGAGTGGAGACGGTCAGTTGACGTGATCCCAGGAAGTGGAGATGGTGGGGTGGGGCAGTTCTATAGTTGGGGGCCAACTTACATTGAAGAGCTGGATGTGGTCGAGGACGTGGTCGTAGTGGGCGAAGTCGTTGGAGGGGATGATGTCGACGCCGGCATCCTTCTGGATCTGCCAGTGGGCGAGACGGAGCCTCTTACCCTCGGCGAGGAGAGCCTCCTGGGAGATCTTGTCAGCCCAGTAAGCCTCGTTGGCCTTCTTGAGGTCACGAAGGACACCCATGCGGCTGGATAAAGCATGGTCATGTTAGCGATGTCGGTCTAGGTAGACTGAAGCCAATTGGCATGTATGTATGGAACTTACGGGAAACCCAGAACCGATGACTGGACCATTGTGTATGATGTGTGTGTGAATAAACGGATATTAGGGGGGTATAGAAAAGACCTCGCGAATGCTCTTGGGACAAAGAGCAAGAATGCGAGGGGAAAAGGAGAACAGGATGGATGGAGGAATGATGGAAGGAGTTTCTGGAGAAAGGAAGAGGGGGAGGTCCGAGTTTATTTATATGAGGGGACTGGAGGAAGGAAGTGGAGGGGGTTGAGATCTGGAGGCAGGACGGAAGGCCAGAGAGACGAGAGGAAGGAGCCAAGCAAAGTGGGCTGGCTGGATGGAAGGCCAGGGGGTGTTGCGATTGCGGTGAGTCTGAATTTCGGACCTTTGACCGCGCTGGGAGGGGATTGGGGAGATTGGGGAGACTGGGCGTGGGCAGCTGGGAGGCCGTGATCGGTGTGGGGCTTCTTTTCCACCCACGGCGCCCAAGCTCAAGCTCTCCTCGTCTCTCTTTGGCCGGATTCTCACGAACAATGCGATGGACCGGAACAAACTCAACAAAATGCACGCGGGCTGACAGCTGGCAGATCCCAATAAATTGGATGTGATGGACAGTTTTTGGCTTTGTATAAAGTACAAGTAGATTTTTTGATCTGTTATTTTTTATCGGCAGGGTAGCGAGACACGCGATGTGGCATTGACTGGTCTGAATTGCATGTTTTCTGTGCCTCTAGAGGTAGCATCTGCAGCTCTACAGCTCCGACTGCACCCCTCTCTGCACGGGCATGCGAGCGAGCCCAAGGAGGCGGGCGGCGATGCGGTGTTGGTCAGTCTCGCCCGCCAATCCGCCAATTGACCCATTGAGAGACTCCAACATTCTCCGTCTGCCTCCGTACGAAACTCCGTTCTTCGCGCTCAGAAAAGTTACAAACAGGGAAGGAGGGGTGGCCATCCGTTGGTGATTGCGGGCGATTGTGGGCTACTCGAGCTATGGCGGGCCTGCGCGGGCAACATCGCGGGGCTCAAGAAAGGGGGTCCTGGGTCGTACTGGGCAAGGGGTTGCCCACCGTCTCAATCGCCAATGGCGCGCCAAACTCAAGACACTGCCGGTGGGGCGCCTGTTGCCGCAACCCACGAATCTTTCGATGACTTTTGTGAAGCTTCTGATTGTTTGCCAGACAAAAAAGGACAGATTGGACGGTCGGGCATGCCAGCTGCAGTGCTCCGGTTTCTGCCCGTCCCGTCACCACCTCATACAAAAAGCACAGGCCCAATGAAACTGTGGCCGGCGAATCTGGACTTTTACGGTCATCAAAATGACACGCAAACGTTATCCATCGAACCGATGATGTGACCGGCCTGGTCTCCACCGGGCTGGCTGGAGCTGGGGATAAAAGGAGTCATCCTCTGGAGCTCTGGGTCGGAATTCGTGGCGAGGAGGTGTGGTGAGGAGCCCGACTCCGTGCAGAGAGCCAGGACGACCATGCTATTTTGGCCCGTTGACGGAGCGGCGGCGGGAACGCGCGGGGACCTCAAATGCTTGTCTCTGGAAAATTTTGAGGCCGAGCAGCCGATAGTCTGGGGAACTCCATTCGGCCGCACGGGCCAGCCCCGACGTTGCTTTCGGCCGATGGTTTGGGGTCTTGGCATGTGTTGGTTGGCTCAAGCTTCTCTGGGAGCTTTCAGTTTCATGTGGCTCGTGCTCAGGGGAAGGAAGCGAAAGAAGCTGTCACGTGCAGAGAAGCACAGACAAGGTGGTCAATGCACTCCAATCTGCCTGTCTGCACATTGAGAGCCCAAGTTGACTTTGGAACGAGGAAGCTTCGACGTTGCTTCCTTGCCTGCCATGAGCAAATAGTGGAGTAAAATAGAGGCTATCGGGGGCTTTGATTGGATTACATGGACTCCATTTGCTCATTTTCCATGTTATTAGTTCCCGCTTCCAACTGGCTCCAACCAAGGAACAAGCGCTCTGTTCAGTTCAGTTGGTCCAGGAGTGACACCGGTTGACTGATTGCCTGGCTGAAACTTGACAGTACACTGACCCTGACACAGCCTCCCGCGCAACGAACCAACTGCAACAACACCCGACCGCCGCCGCAGTGTTGTTTGTTGTCGTCGTCATCACACGAGCGCTTCCACGGGCGCATCGCATTCCATACTTGCCATTTGCGTCGTTATCTATCTACACCATAATCACTACTCTAATTCAACTCCTGGTCACCACTATTCCGTGACTGCCGACGAGGAGGAGCTTGCTGCCTCTCTCGCCAGTTGCCTCTCCGCTCTCTTTGACCCCCTTTTCCCCTCGTCGTGTATCGGGTGTTGCTGCGTCTATTCCCGGCCAATCCCTAGCGCCTCTCTTCTCCTTCGACACCGATACTCTTAGCCATCGCGGCCACCGAATCGCATCAATTAATACCTACGAGGAGGAATCGCCCGTCATGTACTCGAACTCGAATGCCTTCCTCGGGGGCGCCAACAGCCTCCGTCCCGGCCAGCAGCCGCAACAGCAACAGCAACAATATGGCGCCCCGAGTCCGTTTGGTCAACAAGGCCCGATGCAGCCTCAGGCGACCGGATTCGCGCCCCAGCCCACCGGGTTCGCTCCCCAACCTACCGGCTTTGGTCAACAACCTACCGGCTATGGCCAGCAACAACAGCAGCCGCTCCAGCAGCAGTTCACGGGATACCCGGGGTTGCAGGTCCAGCAGCAACAGCCTCAGCTTCAACAACAGTTTACCGGTTTCCAGCCTCAACCTACTGGCTTCCAGCCTCAAGCGCCCCAGCAGCAGTCGTTCCAGACCGGCATGCCTCCTGTCCCAGCGATTCCCCAGCAGTTCCAGCAGCAGTCGTTCCAGCAGCAGCCGTCGATTCAGCAACCCCAGCCGACTGGATTCCCCTCCGTGCCGATTCAGGCGCCGGCCCAACAGCCTACCCCGACTGCTCAGGGTGGCATCGCCCCTCCTCCTCCCGTAAAGCCCCAGGCTACGGGCTTCTCTGAGATGGCCGCCTCTTTCCAGCCGGCTGGGGGCAAGGGACGGAGGGTCGAGCCGAAGACGACCGCCGTAAAGATCCCCAACATCCGCCTGTCTTTCATCACGGCGCATGATCAGGCCAGGTTCGAGACCCTTTTCAAGTCGGCCGTCGGGGAGGGACAGACTACCATGTCTGGTGAAAAGGCGAGGGATCTCCTCCTGCGCTCCAAGCTTGATGGAGACTCCCTATCTCAGATCTGGACATTGGCAGATACCACAAGGTCCGGACAACTGCACTTCCCCGAGTTTGCCTTGGCCATGTACCTTTGCAATCTCAAGATCACTGGCAAGGCACTTCCTAATGTCCTTCCCGATCATATCAAGAATGAAGTTTCAAGCATGGTGGATATCATTAACTTTAGCATCGCTGAGGACGGGGGCTCTAGCTCTGCTCCGGCAACTAACGCTCCTAGCTTTGCTACTCAGCAGAACACGGCCGCCCCTCCGACTATCCAACAGCCCCAGCCTCAGCCATCGAACTCTGCGATTCTCCAGGCGCAGATGACTGGTTTCCCTGCTCAGCAGACCGGCTTCATGGGTCAGAACCAGGGCCTTCAACCCCAGCAGACTGGATTCCCGGGAATGAACCCTCAGCCGACTGGCTACGCCGGTCCCAGACCTCCTATGCCTCCCATGCCGACCGGATTTGGCTCCAGTCTCTCGCCCAACGCTGGAGGCATGGCTGCTCCTCTCAACTCTCAGCCCACGGGCATGCCTGGACAATGGGGACTTGTCAACACGCCTGCCACCGGATTGCCACTCATTGATGCGCTCCAGGCTCGCATGATGCCTCAACTGGGACGTGAACAGCAGAATTACACCACGGCTGGACTTCAAGGTAATGCCGTTATTCCCTGGGCCATCACCAAGGACGAGAAGACGAGGTACGATGCCCTGTTCCGGGCTTGGGATGGTCTGAACAAGGGTTTCATTGCAGGTGATGCTGCTATTGAGATCTTTGGCCAGAGTGGCTTGGACAAGCCTGACCTTGAGCGTATTTGGACCCTGGCCGATAATGGAAACAAGGGTCGTCTGGATTTGGACGAATTTGCGGTTGCTATGCATCTTATCTACCGCAAACTCAATGGCTACCCTATCCCTAACCAGCTTCCTCCTGAGCTTGTTCCTCCCTCTGCTAGAAACCTCAGCGCGTCCATTGGTATGGTCAAAAACATGCTTCACCAGGAATCTGAGTTCCGCAAGAACACCGGAGCCTCCTTGCTCCCCCAGAAGACCGGCGTCAGCTATCTCAAAGGCCACTCCTTCAAGAACACTGGGGCCAACCGTAAGGATGCTACCGTGTTCAAGAACAATGATGAGGAAGTGGGCTATCGCTCCAGCGCGCGTCGTCGCATGGGCGCATCTCCTCGGCCCGAATCTCCGGCCTCTACTAACTCCAGCGAGGAACTAACCATTGAGCAACTTCGCAAGAAGATCAAGGAGAAGCAGGTTCTTCTTGATGCTATGGACTTCAAGGATGAGAAGAACATGGAGGAAGACGATATCCTTGACAGACGCGACCGCCGCGAGGCCGACGAACTCTACCGCCGTATCCGGAGAATCCAGGAGGACATTGACAACCATCCAGATGCTCAGTTGATCAGTGCCGACTCTGACGCCGAGAGACGCGCCCTCAAGCGCCAGTTGCAGCAGCTTACCGACAGGATTCCAGAGCTGGCATCTCAGGTTCGCAAGACCGAGAAGGCCATTGCCGATGCCAGGCTTGAACTCTTCCGCCTCAGGGATGCCAAGGCCCACCCCAACAGCGCCGCTGCGATTGTTGGTACTGGCCCGGGCGGTATGGTCACCGAGTCCGATAGAATTAAGGCCCGTGCAAAGGCTATGATGCAGCAGCGTACAGCTGCCTTGATGGGCAAGAAGATCGATATCGGTGATGATGACGCCGATGCCCCTAAGCGCTTGGAAGAGGAGAACATCAAGATCAAGACCGAAAAGGAGAACAACGAGCGCATGGTCAGAGATGTTGAAGATAGCGTCCGCGAATTCGCAAAGGGTATCGAGGATAATCTTCAGGAGGGTGCTCGGGATTCCACCTCTGAACACGAAAAGCGTCGCTGGGAGGATGCTCTTGGCGTGGAGGACGAGGTCAGAGACTTCATCTTCGATCTTCAACGGGAGAGCCGGGCCGCTCGTATTAGGTCTCAGGACCGTCAGGGCGGCCGTAGGGCCACTCAGGAACCTGTCAAGGCTGAGGCTCCCGTCTCTGCCCACGTCGAAACCGCTTCCCCGTCGATTTCGCGGACATCTACCCCGGCCTCCACTGCTGGCGGCGGTTCTTACTCTTCCTACAAGACGCCAGAAGAGCGTGCTGCCTTCATCAAGCAGCAAGCTGAGCAGCGCATGGCCGAGCGCCTTGCTGCTCTCGGACTCAAGGCTCCTGGTAAGCCGGGTGAGACTGCCGCTCAGCGAGCTGAGCGCGAAAAGGCCGAGCGAGCTGAGAAGCGGCGTCAGGCCGAAGAGGAAGATGCTCGTCGTGAGGCCGAAAGACAAGCAAAACTTGCTGAAGAGCAAGGCGGGCCTGCGCGCGTTGCATCTCCTAAGGCCGATTCTCGCAAGCCCCCTCCGCCCCCGACCAGAAAGGCTGGCAAGACTGAGGACAGACGCGACGAAGAGGCTGTCTCTAAGAAGACGGAGGAAGAACGCCTGGAACGTGAGCGCGAGGAGCAGGAGCGCGAAACTCATGAGCTTGAGTAAGTTGTTCTCTACGTTTACACATTTGCATTTGCGCCGTGACTAACAATACATTACAGGGAGAGCGCCAAGGTCCAAGAAGACGAACTTGCCAAGGAACGTGCGGAAGCTGATGCTCGTCTTAAGGCCCTGGAGGAGCAAGTCCGTCTGGGCAAGCTCAAGAAGGAGGAGGAGAAGCGTAAGAAGAAGGCTGCTATGGCTGAGGCCAAGGAGAAGGAGGCCCAGCTGGCTGCTCGTCGTGCCGAAATTGAGGCTGCTCGCAAGCGTGAAGAGGAGCTCCGCAAGCAACTCGAAGCGATTAACGATGAGGACAGCTCCTCTTCCGACGACGAGGGCCCGGAGCAAATCACTCCTCAGGCGTCTACCCCTACTGTCGGCGGTAGTCAAGTCGGCACTCGCGAGGAGGCCAACTCTCCCCCTCCTCCCGCGCCGGCGTATGTGGCTTCGCCTCCCCCAGTAGCCTCGCCTCCTCAAATCGTTACGTCTAGCCCCAACGCCGAGAGAGAAAGTCGCAACCCGTACTTCAGAATGATGTCCCAATCCTCTGAAGCCTCCACTCCTTCGGTTGCCCCACCAGTCGCATCGCCTCCGCCGGCCGATGTCTCGACCAACCCGTTCCACCGCATGACGCAGGCAGCCGCCGCGCCAGCTGCTGCTGTGAGCAGCGCTGTTAGCGGTGCTGTCAGCGGTATTAGCGATGCTATTAGTGGTGTTTTGCCTTCCAGGCGTCGTCCCAACGATGATGATGATGATGACTGGGGCTCGGACAAGGACTCGGACGATGATGAATCCGATGACGAGGGCAGGCCGGGCGGCAACAGCGCCGCTGCGCTTGCCTCCATTCTCTTCGGCACCATGGCACCTCCACGTCCCCTGTCCGCCACCGGTGACAAGTCTACT